AACATAGAGCAAAACACTATTATTTCTGATAACTGTGTCTGTTCTTCTGACTAATAACAAGCTTTAGTTGCTCACAAATAAATTGAATGACAGTGTGGGTGTCTTCATCGGTGAATAGTTCTGTGCTATTTAAAATATTGTAAGCATGGTTGATAGTGGCTCTGAACTGGTCTTTACCTGAATATTCCCTCGAAGCATCTGCATTCTCAGAAAGAACATGCAGAACATTATCCAAGTGGTGTATATTAGATAATAAAAATGGAGTTTTAATATTACCTAAGTTGAATAACATTCTTGGGAGTACATATACGTTTTTACATTGAGATCTTTATCAGCAATTACAGAGTGAGTTATGATGGGTGCTGGTTTATATTCTAACTTAAACAAAGTAACTTTATCCTGAACAATTTTATGCCACCCATATGGACATTGCCATGAACTGAAAACTGTGAGAAAGTCTGAATAATTTTGAAAACGAGTTGATTTTTGATAGGAGGAATAATCATCAGTTCTAGTTTGCAGTGCTTTAAGTAGTTGTTCTTGTTCCTTGTCCCTCAATTTCTCATCTCGGCTTCTTCTGCTTGATATATCATTTGAAAGGTATTTTGTACAATTTGCAAAGGTACTTGGAATTACATCTGCCTTTAATTTTGGATACTTAAGGAGTACAGTAATGGTCCTACCTGTCTTTTCGTCATGGAAGGTGAATTCCCAAATGATGCTGTCCTCAGCAAAGTGCAAATTACATACTCGGGTGTATTTCGTAACCACTAAATCACTACGAGGGATTGCATTGAGCCATCTTTTACGACAGTTTTCGTTCAATGGAAACGAAAATACGTATACCATCGGACCCTTCCCGTAATTACCGACACAATTAGGAACGCAGCACTTGTAAGGCGAGACACAAATATAAGTTTAAAACATCAATAACTTTCAGTTTACATAGCATAGAAAGATGAGGCTCAGAATGTGAGGTTAGTTGGCAAGGTTGCCACATATTCCAATTTTGAATGGAATATTAGACTTCACAAGTGACATATTGAACGTAATATCGAAAATGTATTCTTGACATACTGAGGCAGATCAGAAAGAATAATCACATCATCACTGAAGCTGCGGAGGCCCCGAGTACATCTTGCAAATTCGCCCACAGAGAGGTACAACTAATTAGTAGAGATTTCGATACTGCTATATCAAACCTAGATATGACAACACCCCAGAGAAATGGTGGCGCGGTTCTCTTGCCAGCCAGTCATCGCGAAACTCCATAAGAACATGCATAGGCCTACTCTGCGTGACGTCACAGGCTTTTCAGAGCCCAGTTGTTTGGCTTTGTACTCTCGGTGGTAACGGCCAAACCGACTGACTCCCCTTTTCCTGACATCCCCACCGAACAGATACCAAGACGTCGCCCCACTCCATCCACCTGTGGAGTGTTAAACAAAAAAGTCCGGTTCATATTTGATTTACCCTCGTATCTTCGAGTTCTCAGCAACTGCTTTTAAAACACTATCTAAGTTTCCTCTAAAGATTCCTTTATTCCAGACGTAACAAGCTGTTTGATCGAACCATATTCATTTAAATTTCGAGCCAATTCTAAGAAAATAGACTTACTAGGCTCCCTTCTTTCGGGAAATTTATCAAGGTACATTTCTGCAGTATTTTTAGTATTCTTGTAGAACAAAATGTGTCACGTCAGCATGTCAAACTTTTCTTCATTGCTAAAATGACCGCCTGGCATTTTTGACGATAATAAAGCAATATTAACAATACACAATAAAGCAATATTCAGTGACAGGTATTTACGTCAAACGACTACTTAAAAATAAATAAAAAAACAGAAATCCCATTTTTTCTTATAACCAAGAAAATAAATGTAACATGTTGCATCTCAATTTATAACTATACTAATTGCAAGTGGCAGATGATTTATAACTATAACATTTGTATTCTCCTCCAAACCTTTCATTATAGTTTTTCATTTTTCATTACTTTAATGAGCCCATTTATTGACCCAATGAGTTCTTGTTTCAAAACAATTCAAGGTTTTAAAGAAAGGTACCGTTATGGAGCCATAAACTTCGCAACTTCTTCTTTTTAACATAGTCAAGGGAATTTCTGCACAGCAATAGTTTTTGCAAACATCTGTTTATTTAGAGGAATTACATTAAAAATTCCACAACACTATACAAAAAATTAACATTCGGCAACAGAGGATTTGTCAAATAAGTTTTTTGATTATTTCTGTGAGCTTTTTTGGAACAATTATTGCATCAAGTTCACCAGCCGCCAAAAATTAATGAAATACTGTTCAACTTTAAACACGGAGCATACTTGTTTTATTTTATTTGTTAATCTTGTCGACTTCGTTGCCTTTAAATAGTAAAAGAGGTTCGATTCGGTCTATGGATTCAACTAAATCACCGATAAATAAATTCGAATTTCGAACATTTTTTTCTACTTAATTTTTCACCCGTGATCCGATTAAAACAAATGAAAAAATACTTTTTGTAGTGATATCTTGATAAAAATTTCACTTTGTAAGCACCTGTAGGTATAGCGTGAATAATCTGCATAGAGTTGTGCCAACTTTCTGCGGACTACTTTTCTACTGTTTTTCACAACATCTAAAATTGACATGAATATTGTAAAGATTGATGTTAAAGATATAATAAATGAAATTACGGGTCTACATTGGCAACTGTCGGTTGGTCCTGATAATATTCCCTTATGTTTCTTAAAAAATGTTTATATTATGTTTGCAGCTCCAATTAAAACAAGAAATTAAAAAACAGAAATAACCAAGAAAATAAATGTTACATGTGATACATCGTTAAATTCGTATAAAAAATGCTATTAGTGTAGTGATGTGGTTTCAACAAAAACGAACCGTGGAGTCCGACACAAAATTTAAAAACACCTTCATGTAGTGCCTAAAAAGGGGCAATCGAAAAGTTTTTTGATATGCCTTAAGGTAAAGTCAGAAAAAATAAAAATGATTTGACCAAATTTTAGTATCTCCCAAATATCTCAGTAATCCATGAAAAGTCTATCATCGGCATGTAAATATGCCTCAAAATGTAACTTTTTCCTAATTTAATCAAAGCTGTCTCTCCCACAGGTGTCGTGATCCCCATGCAAAACCCCTTATCAGATTCTGTCAAACGTTTTTTTGCCGAAAAATAATGGTAGATGTGTATTCTTGGTATGAACCACAGAAAAAGTTACATTCTTTCGTTCTTCAATAATGCGGCATAAGAGACGTACAAAGCATAGGGGTTGCCCCCCCCTACCCCCCCCCGTCCGAAATCTGAGGAAAACAAATCGAACGTATCTTACAATAAAAAGAGGACGACCCTCCGCTCTTCAATTATGAATCGTTGATCCCCCGGCTCTTTATTTTTCAATCGCCGATTTCATCATATCAAAAATATTTTCTAGATCCACCCCTGAAGCATATATCTAGAACATAAAATTCGAGAGGTTTTTGCATGAAATGGCCATGTTTACACTGTGGATAGCCGAGCGCTTATACAGGGTGATTCACAAGTCGTGTGTTGAAGTCTAAAAATAAAAAACAATTTTTTTGATATTTTCAAAACCGTCTACCGGAATGAACTAAAATTTGGTATGTGGATTTACCTAAGTATTGTCCACATTCAAAAATATTTACTTGAAATTAACGTGCACCAGTGGCGGAGATACAGAGGAGTAGTGGCATCATTTTTCCAAATAAAAATAGTATGCCACTGTTTTTTTTTCGAAACACGCAATTTTTCGAATTTTACCCTCAATTTGCTGCAAACAGTTTCATTTCTCTTGTGTTTTTTTCCTAGAGTGCGCTGTTTTCATAAAAAAAAATAATACAAATTAGATCATTCATGATGAGCCGAGTTTCAATTAGTTGCAAAATAAAATAGGAAACCTTGATACCAACGTTTCTTGGATGACAGTTTATGTAAGTTATGTATACGGTTGCTTTCGTTACTGCTACCATTTTTTGTTTGTAAAGTTTCTTCTTTCCATGTTTGAGTGTTGTGAAATGGAATTTAGCAATGACGAGTACGTCGATATTATTTTTGTGTACGGGTTCTGTAATTGAAATGCTTTAGCGGCTTCTCGGGAGTATCAATTCGAAAAATTGCGCGTTTCGAAAAAAAAGCAGTGGCGTACTATTTTTATTTGGAAAAATAATGCCATTGATCCCCTGTATCTCCGCCACTGGTGCACGTTAATTTTCAGTAAATACTTTTGAATGTGGACAATACTTAGGTAAATCCACATACCAAATTTCAGTTCATTCCTGTTGACGGTTTTGAAGAGAGAAAAACTTGTTTTTTATTTTTAAACTTCAGCTTTTCAATGTTACATAGAAGATCCCCCTTAAAATGCGGTCCTTTTTATGATGTTTCATTTTTGTTCACGACTTGTGAATCACCCTATATAAGCCCCTAGCAACGTTTACGTACGCAACTGTAGCTTGGATATCCACGATGTAAATATGGATTTGTATTCAAAGATAATGCATTTTCTAAAAACGCCTTTTATATAAGAAGACCAGGACAAAAGCTGTTTCTACATCGAGATCCAAGACAGAGAGCTTAACAGCTCACGCACCCTCCATGTAAGGTTGTATTTAAAAGTTAGAAATTTTGGAGGTAAAAATTAGTTACTATACTGTCAAATTTTCATTGAATTATATTATAATATTCAATGATTAGAGATTATGCAAGAAAAACCAACTCCTAGTGACGTCCTTTAATGTATCCCCGAAACAAGCGGTATCTCGGAAATCGTCAAAAGACAAAGAATCGTTCCTTTTTGCCCCAATATTGCATACTTTTCGATACTCCTGGCAGATACTTATCAATGCCATAATTGCGTGGCAATTACTTTTTCTACTTTGCAATGCATTGACTAAATCGTTAAAAGCTCAAGCCCTAAACTGCTAGACTGATTTTTCATTTTTTACAATTTCGAAGATATAAAAATACTGAAAGCAACCGCTGCGACCTTCCAGGTCACTGTAACCATATGCATATATGAACCATATCTAAAACAATGTCCAGCTGTTAAAGACAATCGTAATTTTGGGGCACGTAAGCTCTCAATGTAAGGAGCTATGATACTAATGTGCATTTTCCTTATTTCAGTTTCTTAGATGACTTAGACCGGCTAGGAGCAAAAGACTATCAACCCACAGAACAAGATATATTAAGAACACGTGTAAAAACAACAGGCATCGTAGAAGTACACTTTTCATTTAAAAATCTCAATTTCAAGTGAGTATTTCATTGTTTCTTCCATACTATTAATCTTTTTTATGGTCTGATACGAATTTGAAATGTTTATAACGTTTTACCGCATCCGTATGAAAAAAAAATAAACAGATAAAAAATTATAATGATTCTAAGAGCTGACTTCCTCGAATAAGCGAAAAAGTGTTCAACTAATTTATAATTATAAAATATTATGTTTGTGGTGTATCTAAAATATCATTACTTTACAAATATTCGTGATATGCCGAGCTTAATACCATGACTAAGGTGAATTTGAACATTCTGAACTCCGAATCGATAAACAAAAACTAACTTCGGGGATATAACATAGAAAACGAGTTCGTATTTATATCGAATGAAAATTTGTGATGTTTTTTCCTCTCTTTTTACTTTCTCAATTTGATAAGTGTTTTATCCATTCCTCAAAATAGATGCCAGACTGATGATATTTGGATCGGATTGGACTGAATAGAGTGGTTAAATTATGCAATATTAGTCCAGTAATTCAAATACTGAAGATGTTAAAAAATATCTAGAATCTATGCATGATTAGGAACCAGGTAATAAGTTCTGAACCGTTGATTTTTCTTGGACTATTATAATCGTGCTGTTCAGAATATTGAAAGGTGTGTCAGATGTTCAGAATATTCGAAATCAGCGGCATTGAAAGAGATTCATTAAAATAGTATCGTTCATTTGAAAACGTCCCACCACGTATTTATCGAAAACCGCTTATTAAAAGAAAAAACGCCGAGACCCGTCAAAAGATTTGTCAAGGGGGACAACTTTTTAACCAAAAACTACTTCACCCTCGGAACCCCAGGGTCATTCCCTTAAAAATTTTGAATGACAAGGGGTATCGCGTAACAACTTGTTTGAAAGGTGTTTTTTGGCGTTTGATTTTTTAAAATCAGTCGATTCGTTTTCGAGAAAGTTAGAATTTATCTTAATTTGTTCAGATAGAAAACAAAAACACACGAAAATATGACTTTTTATTTCAGTAAGTGTTCAAAATGTTGCCCGTTAGGGGTTTGCCAAATCTACAATTCGTTCATAATTTAAAATGGTAACTACCAACAAAAACAGCAGTTTGGAAGATTAGACATGGCAGCAACCAAATAACAACCCGAATTTTTGTCCGCATTCTTTTCATCAACACAGATATCCTAAGCGAACTGTATCTATTGTTATACCTGTTTAGTTATTTGTTGCCAAGGGAAAGAAAGAATTTAATTTGCTTTAAATTACCTTTGTGAAAAACTGGGGATAGTGAAAAATAGTTTATTGATTCAGATTTAACTTAACTCCAAAATGGTTTACACACTAGCCGAAAGAGTGAAAATGATTCTAATTTATTTAAGCTGCCATGATATCCCACAACAAAAAGTGATATTTTCGTGTGTTTTTGTTTTCTATCTGAACAAATTAAGATAAATAAAGATTTTTCTAATTTTCTTAAAAACGAATCGACTGATTTTATAAAATCAAACGTCAAAATGCAGGACTTGGAAAGATTTTTCCAACAAGCTATTACTCTATACCCCTTGTCATTTAAAATTTTTAAGAGGATGACCCTGGGGGGCAGAGGGTGAAAGGGGGTGAAGTAGTTTTTAGTTAAAAAGTTGTCCCCCTTAAAAAATCTTTTGACCTATTTTTTTAATCAGTAATTTTCGATAAATCCGTGATTGGAAGTTTTCATATGAACACGCCTCACACGAGTTTCTAGTACTGCTTTCATAAACGTGATGCATTAATAACTGCCTAACACTAATTTATTATCGTCTAATTACAGATTATTCGACGTGGGTGGTCAGCGATCGGAAAGGAAAAAATGGATACACTGTTTTGAAGACGTAACTGCGATTATTTTTTGTGTAGCTATGAGCGAGTACGATCAAGTTTTGCATGAAGATGAAACGACGGTAAGATTATTCGTCTGCTCAGAAGCCATTCCTTGACTTGAGGCATCCTTAGGCGAATGACACCCGATCAATACTTAATGTGATCCATCAGTATTTATCATAGAGTTTGATATTGCCAGGAAATTCACTGACGCTGACGGAATGATCAGTAAATAGAGTATCTATTGATCGTGTGATACTCGCCTTGATAGTAGAGTGACAGAAAGGGATAGGGGTTCCTAAAGGAGTTCTTTGGCCATTAAAATACAGTACAATTGCGTTAATATGAATACAAAAAATCCTGAAGCGTTCATATTACGGAGATTGTTCATACTAGTGAAGATTAAAAAATGGGTACGTTATATGTTTTCTACATGTAAAATAAAACGCATGACAATTTTGGAACTCAAATCATTTATTAATAATAGGTGTGAAACTCTGATTTATATCCTCTTGGTCACTTTCTTCAGATTCACTTTCAATTCCTAAATCCTCTGTCATTGCTTCTTCGGCTATTGCATCTTGGTTCCAGTCTTCCACGTCTGCAGCTACTTAGTCAGCCTAGTTTTAAAAATAAACTGAAAGGAGGAATCCACAGTTTTTAGTTGAAAGACATTTTCATCACACTGTTGGAGTTATGGTTTGAGGTGCTATAGCTTATGGTTCCAGGTCACCTTTAATCTTCATCAGAGGTAACATGAACGCGCAGCGTAATATCCACGAAGTTCTAGAACCCCATCTTTTACCCTATCTTGACACCCTGGCAGATCCAACTTTCCAACAAGATAATGCCCGACCACATGTTGCAAGAGTCACAATAGACTTCTTTCAACATAATGATGTCACATTGTTACCATGGCCACCAAGGTCTCCCGACTTATCCCCAATTGAGCACATGTGGGATATGATGGGTAGGAGATTGCTCAATTTGCAACGTCCTCCTCAGACTCTAGAAGCACTTCGAGAGGAGTTGGTGGTTGCCTGGAATGAGATACCACAGGAGGACATTGACCACCTGATCAGAAGCATGCCTAGGCGCGTTGGAGAATGCGTAGCACATCAGGGTGCATCCACACATTATTAAAGGTCAAAGGGCTTTAAAGCAGTGCAATCATTTTGAAATTTCTATCATTTACTTATTATGCTTCATTAAGTACTTATACAAAATTTTATTAAAATAAAACCATTTAAACTGGGTGTTCGGATTTATATGTCACTTAGTATATTTTGGTTCATAGGTTGAATTAAAGCCGTCACGTTTGGTGGCATAAAGATTACGAAAATCATTCCATCTTTAGTTTTAATTCTTCAACAGGTGGATGAGAAGGTGCACTGTGCAAAAGTAGGATTGCTTTTTCTGGCAGATTTTGAGCCCTCCAAAAACATTTGACCTAAAAGTAGCATATAGCAATGAGAAAAATATGCAAGGAAAAATCAGTATTAACTTTCCTCAGGGACAAATTGTTGGAAAAACCAATTTTAAAAAATTTCGGCTGTCATCCGTGTATTCTTAGTGTTCCTCTATACCAGTGGATTATTAAAATTTTTGAAACATCTAGGATTCTTTGATTTCCCGATGACTAATGGTTTGACTTTATGAGAACCTGAAGCACTAGCACAGCCTAAAAATGTGATTCTTCGTTTGGCAATTTTTAGTCCAGGAGCAGTTTTTTCGGCTGAAGATCTATAAGTCTTGTCAGGGAGCAATTGCCAATATAATTCAGTTTCGTCAGCGTTGTACAACTGGTGTTTATTTAAATCAAACTCTTGAATCACCCTCCTTAAATTTTTTTGAAGGGGTCAACGAGTTCTGGCTGACTTGGCAGTTTTTCTTCACTTATTTTTAGAAATCTTACCCCGTAACATTCTTTGAATCGTTGAAGCTATCCAAAGCTTGCTTTGAAATTAGAAATTTTCATTCCCGCGGATAAACTTAATGCTTTTTGTTTAATCATTTCTCCAGATACTGGCATTTTAATTTCGCGTTGTGCAAGGAATCACCTATAAAGTTTCATTTCCAATTCTGGAAGTTCTGCTTTTCGCAGTGTACATTTTTAGGTAGCCTTTATTGTATTGGCTACTCTTTCTACAATTTTTGCTTTTTTGTCTGTAATTGAACAAACTGTAGACCTCGTGATACCATATTTTTTCGATAATATGGTTACATTCATCCCTTTGCTAAGGTCCTCCAAAACTTTTCCCTTTTCATAAAGGGAAAGACACTTTGATTTTCCTTTTACTTTAACCATTTTAAAAATATTTTTACCACGTACTAAAAACAGTTAAACAACCACCTATAACGACCGTCAAACACAATTTTATCTTCCACACTATTGAAACTACAAGTTTTAACGAGCTGTTCATACTAACGAGATTGCAAACGTTCATATTACAGAGTAGTCCATACAAAAAATACACATTTGTACTTCTCATGTCTCACTGGCGGAGGATGTATTGTAATCGCGAAAAATTTCGAAAATAAGATAAGCTGTTTTTTTGTTTTATATGGCATGACAGTCATGGACAAAAGTATGGAAAGATTTGTTTTCTGGTTATACTCTTTAATATTTGTTAATGAATAATTAATTACATACTAAAAAATAAACATCCACTACTAACTTAGTAACATTTTAGAAATAAATGAAAATACAAAATAAAAGCAAGTCGCATATATGATAAATAAAGAAAACCCTGGGACAAAAGTGTGGAAAGAATATTTTTATTAAGAAAAAAAGTTAAACATACAAATTGAACAAGCAATGTTCAATATTTTGTTGAAAATCCCTTCGCCTTAATGACTTCCCTACATTTTCTTGGCATGGAATCAAGCAGATTTCGACCCACATCAACTGGAATATTCCGCAATTCATCTTGTATAACTTCCCATAAATCATTCTCACTATGAATAATTCTTTGCCGAATTTTCCGCTCTAAGTGCTCCCACAGGTGCTCAATTGGATTGAGGTCGGGCGATTGCGAAAGACATTCCAGTAAATCAACGCTTTTCTCTGAAGACCATTTTTTTATTAAATAGGATGAATGTTTCTAACAGCGGCATTTCTTTTTCGGCATAAGGTTAAATAGTATTCTGTAATATTTCGCGGTACATACAGCGATCCATTTTTCCAGTTATTTTCAGTATCGGGCCCGTTCCAGAGCTGGAAAAACACCCCCACATCATAATACTGCCACCACCATTTTTTACTGTAGGCTATTGATACTTGATATCAAATTTTTTTGATGTCCAATTTAAATGTTTCGGAGCAATCTGAAGTCTGGCCTTTCGATTATTTTTAGACAGTAACGATTTTTTGGCAGCAACTCCTCCAAACAGCCCAACTTCACGTAGACGTCTTCTCATAGTACGGGGCGTTATGTCTGTGTTGAAATATTGACGAATGTCTGCATTAATTTGGACGGATGACTTACGCGTCTTTTTGATGTCATTGCACTACATATAAATCTGTACTAGAAGTTGTTTCGAAAGCGTAGGACGTATAATCAATTTACTTGACGTCATTTTTGAATATTCAACTTTACTGTGTGAGCGCATCGTCCCAACACTTCCTACTTCAAATCTGTGATAATGCACTCTAAGATCCATAACATTGAAAACGTTGCGCCATTATACTCACAATAAAAAGAAAAGTGGAAACAAATAGACGCACAACTAAGGTGGATGAATAATGGAAGTCTGTTTCTTTTGAGTCCAGTTATTAAAAAATCGTAGTTATAGCGATGTGATGACAAATTCCTTCCGCTTACACTTACTCGTACATCCATCGAGCTCAAAGCCGCTCTTTGTTGAGACCGGTCGTCGACGATAAAATTATAATCCTAGCTCACAGCAAACCATAAGTTTTCAAGTAAGTACACTACTATTGTCTTTAAGTTCTAACGCCATCTCGAACATTTTGTCCGGTTCAACTTGTTTATTAATCAAAATTATAAAGGTTATTAGCAACTTATTTAATATTGATATAAAATCCATTAAAATTATTTCGAAAATATTCTAACGAACATATTCTTAGTTTTGCGAAAGCGTTCAAGTAATGTTTATATAAGTTTGTAAGTATTGAATGTTCAATTTTAATGAAAGACCTTTATACAATCATTTTGTTTATTTTTTCATTTGTTTATCACAACGTTAGACGTTCGGAAGAGTTCAGTCAACTTAATAAACAATGACTGTCTCTGCAATAAAGGAAAATATTTCATAAGTTAAATAATATAACAAATTGTTATTCAATGATTTATTTGTTTCATTCATCCAGTAAGTGAACGAATAACTGCTTACGAGTATTTGTTGACCTGGCCTTTCATGTTCCACCCTCATTATAATTAATTTTCAGATTTTTTGTTTGTGATCCCATTGTCGCCAAACTTTCATTGTTATGTATGTTTTGTGTCTCAATATGTTTAATATACATTTAAATAGGTGTTGTGATCATACGCTCATATAAAAATCGTAGGTTAAATAACGGAAAATGGGTGAATTTTGAACAAAAATGCCAAAACTGCAAACTTTGGATATTTAAATAACAATCAAGCTCAAAAACCAAAATAATCATGTGTTCTGCAATCTTTGAATGCAAAAATTTCGTAGTTGGGATGCAACTATCTGGATTATTTTTAGTGCGGAAAGATCCCTAATGAATCCTGATCATTTGTCAAATGTCTTCTTCAAGGAGAAATGCAGCCTTGTTCGATCTTCGGATTGCCTTATACGGTAGTTTGTTGAATGATCCCCAGTTTAACTTGTTTTTTTTTTCAATGTATCCAGGAGTCTACCCATTTTGATTCTCGTGTACATTGAAAAACATTCCGCGAAGCATTGGATTATAACCAGGAGGCCAAATTTGAAAAAAAAAACGAGAGAGTAGTATAACCAATAGAAAGAGAGCGTACTTCTGTTATTTTTGAGAATCTCGTGGATCTGTATATCATAATGTTTCCTAGATAGGAAAGTTGATCTCCGTGTTATTCCTTCAATAAATAACATGAGAAGAAATGCCGGAGTTTCTCCGTCGGTCAACGATCTCCACTCTAAAGACTAAGTTAACTTTGTAATGAATCATTCAACCGTATGAAAAACCGTAGATAGTAATTCTGTTCTATTGGTTATTCTACTACCCGGTTTCCAATAATTGGCTTCCTGGAGAGCTATTTTCGTGTGGACTAGAATAGAATGCTCCTTAAAAACAATACATTTTCTTAGGCTTTTTATATCATTAAATGGTTCACCGCAAAGTTAGACTTTCGTACTCTTCTCCCAATAATGATCAGTTATTTGTCTTTCAGTTATTCCCTTCCCCCCACCGGCAATGAAAAGTCTTTAGATTTGAAAAAGTTGAAAAAGCCGCCATTTTTTATATTTTGCAATTCTCCTGTCACATCAGTTCTATAAAAAGGAAGCTTCAAGGAACTGTTATTGAATTTAAGTTTAGTGATCTAGCTTGCTGTTTATCTAATAATTGTTATTTTGTTGCAGAATCGGATGCAGGAAAGTTTAAAGCTGTTCGACTCAATCTGTAATAATAAATGGTTCACAGATACCTCTATAATTCTCTTCCTTAACAAGAAAGATTTATTCGAAGAAAAAATTAGGAAATCACCATTAACGATATGTTTTCCTGAATATGCAGGTACAGTATTTCTCACACATTATACGCGATATTCCAAATTTGACTCTAAGCATCGGTGCTTAGGAAACTGTAAGAGATACAGAGTTAGTTAAGGGGACTCTGATTGGTCAAATAAGCTATTTGAGGTTAGACAAACTGAATTTCAGGCAGTTATTTATCTTTTATTACTAGATTAAATGATATTCCTCGTTTTGCCCTCAAGGTTAATAAAGCTTTGTGATAATTGACTGGCTTTGAAAATCACTTCTATTTTCACAAAAATTCTCTAAACCCAAATTACTTATTTGACGTCGTCAGTCGTATTATATATATCCGCTTAAGTAGGGGCAAAGTTGTGCTATTAGGTAACTTAGAAGATGGCATTTGGAAAGTTTCGCAATTCCGGGGACATTCGAAAGAAACCGATTTATCTTAAAATAATAATAATCGTCTTTATTTACATTGAAAAGAGTGAATAGTCATTCATGTAGCTATTCTTCCACTTGACCCAAATATAAAAAAATAGTATAAGCATAGCTCTGAACAAAATTTTATGAAATAATTTGAATTTAAAATATAAATCTTCAAGTATATCCACAAAAAATACTCATTTATACACGAAGTTCTCTCCCAAGTGATATTTAAATGTCTTTACAGATGGGTCTTAAGTTTTCCGAAATAGAGTTGTATATATAAAGTAACTAAGAAGGGAAATAATAAACAGAAGTCTAAGAACAGAACGCACATTCATGTTAAGTTTTCAAACAAAAAACAATTGGGTATCTCCTTCTTTCCCATTTCATTTTTTTTCTGCAAGTTTGATGCCTTGGGGACACTGGCACCGGTGCCCCCCCTGGATCCGCGCTCGACGATCACCTTGTCTGCGACCTTCCAGGTCATTTCAAGGTCAATTGAATGTTTTCAAATAGAACCCCTACTTTTTCACATCGGAATTAAAAAGAGAAGAAAATGTTTCGTCCGAATATCACCTTGGCCATGACCCTGATCATGGCCCTTCAAGGTCAGATCAAAAGCAAACATGTTAGACTGTATAGTCAAGTCAGAATTTTCAAAGGAAACCTGTCATTTTTATATTGGAAAAGGAAAAAGCAGGAAATTTCACTTCCGCTTCCTCAAAGAACATTTAAGCTTGACAGGAGGCAACATCACCTTTTTCCATTCCCGGTGTAAAAATGACAGGTTTCCTTTGGAAATTGTGGCTTGGCTTTGAAGATTCAGGTCACATTGGGATCATCCCCGCAACTGTGCTACCAAACATGTTTACTAGAGCAAACTCAACATCTTGATTAGACCTTGAAGGAAATAGTCAAGGCCATTATGATGGTCTCATTCTGACTCCTCTTTTCAATTCCGACGTAAAAAAAGGGAGGTTTTATTTAAAAATGTTCACTTGATCTTGAAATGACCTTAATGTTCATTGTTAGGGTCACCATCATTTTGGAAACCATACAAGTTTTGTTTGAAACTTCTTTCTCTAGGATGCGTAGTTTTTGAAATATTTGGGTAATATAGGTACTTTTTGGTAATAATATATTAATATAGTGAAATCAGGGCGTTCCAATTCAAACCAACATTATAGATAAATACATGAATCAGGTCAGATCAAAAGCAAAAATGTTTCCAAAGGGAACCTGTTATTTTTATATTGTACAAGGAAAAAGCAGGACATTTCATTTCCACTTCCTCAAAGAACATTTAAGCTTGACAGGAGGTAACATCAACGTTTTCCATTACTCGTGTGAAAATGGCAGATTTCCTTTGGAAATTGTGGCTTGACCTTGAAGGTCAAGGTCACATTTGGTTGATTCCCGCAACTGTGCAGCCGAACATTTTTACCAGAGCAAACTGTTTTCAACATCTTGATTAGACTCTGAAGGAAATAGTCAAGGTCATGATGATGGTTTCATTCTGACTCCTCTTTTCAATTCCGACGTAAAAACGGGAGGTTTTATTTAAAAATTTTCACTTGATCTTGAAATCACCCTAAAGGTCTTTGTTAAGGTCACCATTTTGGAAATCATACAAGTTTTGGTTGAAACTTCTTTCTCTAGGATGCGTAGTTTTTGAAATATTTGGCTAATATAGGTTATTTTTTGGTAATGATATATTAGTATAGTGAAATCAGGGCGTTCCAATTCAATTCAACGTTATAAATAAATACATCAATCATCTTGAAATGTGTAAAAAATTTCCTTTTGGGTTTTGATATGGACACCAGCAAAAATCGCTTTTTTGTTTCGTTTTACCAACCAACTTCCGCACCCGCAAAACTGTCGCATATCGATATTCTTATTATACGCGATGTCCTCAAATGTCTCCTCAGAGCATACTATACCTTGCCTAAAGCTTGACCCTGTGATACAAAAACTTACAATCGAATGTGAACACATGAACTGGCGATAAATTACTTGCTATCGATCCTTCCACTTCAGTGTCTTTGAAGGCTGTTTTTTTGTTCACTAACACAATAGCACAGGTTACGTAATAGGCCTCTCGGTGTCTCTGAACTCCACACAATGTCACAACCCCACATATTATATCGATTCGAAAACTTGCCTATCAAAACCCGCTAGCTAGCTAGTGTTGTGTATACAACAACTAATAAGGTCAAGTGCTGTTCTCTTAATTAACAAGACTGATAATGCTCGCCAGCAGCTTGTGACTTCCCACCCCTTCGTAATTACGGATAAAGATCAATACATTTACTTCTATCTATTCATCATCTATTTATAGCACACATACAGACAATGTTCATTTCAAATCAGATTTGATATGTGTCAGGCCCTTCAATGCACAATGCCTATCAGCCTAGTTACGGCTATCCCACTTTGAATGAGAAAATTTTAATATATCGAGAAGCTTTTTAGCCCAGTTAAGATAGGTTGTATAATCGGCAAGAGAAATGTTGCAATCGTATATTTGATTTTATAAAAAAATCATTACACAAGAAACACTTGTACAAAGTATACTTGTCTCATTTCATATTATCTAGACGATAAATAAAACATAACTTCTTCCTTGAACCGGCCACAAAAATAGGAGTTGACGTGCCGGATGATGGTGTGTATGGACAAATTCACTTGTAGAAATGATTACATTTCCATCCTGTCACTTCTACAAGTCGAGCATGCAAAGTGCACATCAATAAATAAGACGAAAACGAATGTCGAAACACAGTAAATCCTCATTAAATGCACGATGCAAATGCCCCATTTATGTATGTCGAACCTTCTCAGGGAATTGACTTCTTAGCTAAGAAACTGGTCACTTAGCTAAGTGGAGCTACTTACGACTAATACCTTTGTAGGTGCACGCCTCTTTTTCCTATAAAGCTAAATAAACCAGTCTTCCGAGTATTTTTGTCTATAATAATAATAACGCCTTTGTTTGTTGTACATAGAGAAGTTTAGCCTAGGCTACTCTTACACTTAACTATCTTTGTCAGTACATATAGAGCACGATGTAATGTGCGTTGCCTAAGATGTCATAAAAAAATTATAGCTATAACTAAACTATACTATAAACTAAAATACCACAACTATATACAGTATGTACATGGATGCCCAAATATAAATATGCATACACACATATACATATATACACCCATACATACATATAATATTTAGATACATATGTATATACATAAGAAAAGGTACTGGGCCAATATCAGGTAAGGGTAAATACATATTGTTTTATTTGTTTACGGAAATTGGCAGAAGACATTTCCTTGCATTTACCTGGTAAAGAATTGTAAAGTATGGCAGCATTATACGAAAAACAACGCTTGAAAAGTGTCATAGAGTGAGGCGGTATTTTGATTATTTTACGGTCTCTTATGATCCTGCTATGAACTTCATGACTAAATATAATCTTATCTCTCAAATAAGCGGGCCTTGACGTAGCTATCAACTTGTGCAAAAATATTAAGCACTTGTACTCAACTAGCTTGCCATTTTTTTGCCATTTCATACGATGGTACTTATCGCTAACATGGTTAAATTTTCTCAACCCATGGATAAAACGGATACAATTATTTTGAATAATTTGCAGCCGGTTCTTCATGAACTGGTCGAGACATGGATAGTACAGAATATCGCAATAATTTAAGATTGACATAACAAAAGACTCGCACAATTTTTCCTTAATTTATAATTTAGAAGATGGCGATTGACAAGCAATGCTCTCATTCTGGCATATGTCTTTTTAGTTAGTGACCCCTAAAATCTTAGATGAAAGTGTTAGTTCTAACAGTGGACCATTTACGAGTAGATGCACTTTAAACGAATTTTCCAAATTTCTTCTCCTTGCTTCTGAGCAAAATAGTAATATTTGCGTTTTATGTCGAATAATTGTTAAATTGCGGTCACTTGAATATTTTTGCACTTTGCTCAGATCCTGCTCTAATAGAACAGCAGCATCTTGCGAACAAGATGTGTCGAAATAGTGCATAAGTTGAGTGTCATCAGCAAAAGTTTGTAAATCAGAATGTGCGACAGATTTGTGCAAATCAAAAGTGTATAACAGAAACAATACTGGACCTAGTATGGAACCTTGAGGGACGTTCAATGGTATTACGCTGACTCCAGACAGCCTGTTGCCCACAGAGACACACTGCGTATGCTCCTGAAGATAGTTTTTAAAAAACTGAACACTCACATTATCAAGTCCAATATAATGTAATTTGGAAAGCAAGAGTTGGTGATTGATCTTATCGAAAGCTTTTTAGAGTAATCTATTGAGACTAGAATTACCGCCATCTTTTTGTCCATAGCTCGGATCACATTATCGCACAGATTCAGTAGCGCTGATTGATTAAGAGAAATAACACCATTGTCTTCAACATAGAATTGTACTTGAACTGCACCGCCTTTTCTAAAATTTTACATAACGCAGGCAATAAACTTAAAGGTCTAAGATGCGTAACATCAGTTGGCTTAGGGATTTTAGGTGTTGGTAAAATTAATGCATTCTTCCATTGTTTGGGAAATACCTGTTTCTCAATACAAATGTTCACTATGTGCAATATATGATAGAATATTACCGGTAAACTAATGTTAATCATCGTTATTAACAAAGTATCAAGGCCTTTTGCATCTGATTTAAAAAAATTTATAATGTCAAAAATCTCCTGGGGACCATTTTCAAGGAAAAAGATTTTGTGGGATTCACCATGTTATTTTTCTAAAATCTGCATGTATCTTCCTGTACACTGTCAGTACTATAAACAGACAATGTAGTTGTTTATAGTATCCACGTCATTTATGTTTTCTGGCAGAGAAGGTTTCCTGCCAGAGTTTATACTAAAATTCTTTAACCCTGACCAAATTTTGCTTGAATGGTTTTGCTCGGAAAGTACTCCCAGATAAGCTTTTTTTGCTTGCCGGATATCTATAAGAACTATGTTTCTGAGGCGTCGATAGCTTTCAAAATTATTTAGTTCTATTTAGTGTATATCTCACCAATGAATCATCTTTGTTTTTCTTGGTCTTTTTGAGTTCATTGTTCAGCCAGGGTGCTGGAGGTTTAGATACACGAAGAGTCCTAAGTGGATGGTGGTCGATACATCACTCCTAAAACAAATATACTTCTATTAACATTCAGTTTTATGCACAAACATTCCAAATAAGCACTTGTCTGCACATCTAAAATTAAAACGCAAGTTAGATTTAAAATAGATAGCTACACCACCTCCTCGTGTCTCTCTGTCACAAAGAAATATGTCATAGTCATTAATACTTACATAACTATTTGTTATGTCTGCATGAAGCCATGTTTCAGTGACGGCAAATATATCCACATCATCAGATTTGACCAAGTTGACAACCATGTCAAAGTCCGATATCACAGAACGTACGTTAAGGTGTCCAATTTTCAGAATGCACTCTTTAGCTGCCATAGTTTGTTATATACGTTATGTACATTGCACAATCTTTATCATTTGCCTTGTGTGAAGTACTATACTTGCCGTGAAATTTTTCATTATATTATAAAGCTGAAATCTCAAGTTACTTAAACCTGACCTGTGGACCTGCCCATTTTCTACGTGACTGAATCAAGACCAGCTTTATAGAAAATGCAACATATTCTTCTGAGATGCTGAAACCACCAGTTTCTTAGCTTGAAAATTAGGATGAATCAATCAATAACAGAACAACTAAGAGAACAATGGATGATATAGAATCAAATCATCATTTTATACTCGTGCACGGAGCGCTCTGTGAGAAAAACGAAAATAGCTGAATATCAGGTAGTATGGGACGGCGGACGATTTTTCAAATCTGAAAATAAAAAATTCTGAACGAATCAAAACACGCCAGATATTTAATATCACGTACCTTAGACACTGTTGCCGAAAATTTGCATGATGCTAAAGTTACCTAGGAGTGACCGTCGTTCGATAAAAAAAGGCATTTTTCTGTATTTTATCATAGTCATTAATAAGGAAAATGTGTTAATACACTTGGCAACAAAAAAAAATCAACCTGTTTTTCAGGCATTGAAAAGAATCTATTTCCAGGGCCTTCCTCATTTTGAACTGTTTATAACTCGAAAGCTTAAAGAATAGTTACTAAGGACCTTTTTTGTTTTTAAGAAAAACTTTGTCCATAGCGAAAAAATCATATATGTGGTTGCATACTGAGGTTTGAGGAAAACTTTGCTATTCAAAAGACATCTATTTTGGAAATCATTATTTTTGAGGATGCCAAGTGTTTAAATTGAAGATAAAACTTTATCAGACCTAAAAGAGTATTTTAGGATTAGTAGATCTTAAATTTGCCTTTATATGAAATATTGAATTGATTTTATATTAAGCATTGTCCACTTCATTGTACTGCTATTGACTGATTCCTCCTGGTTTTTTATCTAAGTAACTGGTGGTCACAGTCTCTTAGAAAAATAGTTGCATCTTCTAATAAGCGGGGATCACCTCTGCCACATAGAAAATGAGCGGGTCCATAGAACGTTATTAGTCTAAGTATCTGGAGATTTCAGATTTATAGATAAAACGTATGCGTAACGCTATTTAGCTAAGTGACCGGTTTCTTAGCTAAGAAGCCAATTCTCTAATAAACTAGTGCAATTATACCGCCAGACACCTCATTTCAAATGTCAGTAAGCCGTTTAGACTGTAGCCCGTGAAATATATATTTATATATAAAAAGTAGCCTACGAGGTATATAAATTAAGAGAAGAGACTGATTTTTTTTATTTTTCTATTCAAATATAATTACAACCAAATGACTCGAACTATTTCAAACTTGTACTGAAGCCGGATCACATGTTTTCTGTCCCCCCCCCCAAACTCGTCGTCTCTAGTGTTGTCAGATCGAATGCTAGGCTGCCAGTATCATCACTTAATTTACATACCTCGTATGTGCTGCGTGATTGAGTAACAAACATCAACACTTTCTCATTTATAATATTAGTATGGATTAATTCCACTGCATGGAGAGTCAAAGGGTTAGACGTTTTTTGCTTTTTTTTTTTGACATACAAATGCCATTTTATCCATACTGTGTTTCAGGCGCACAAGAATATGGCGAGGCAGCCGCCTACATTCAAGCGCAATTCGAGGCGAAAAACAAGTCGACAACCAAAGAAATCTACTGCCACATGACCTGCGCCACGGACACGCACAACATCCAGTTCGTGTTCGACGCCGTTACTGACGTCATCATAGCTAATAATCTGCGCAACTGCGGCCTCTACTAAACCCGCGCATGCGCTTCAGCAACCCCTACTCGGCTTCCTAATGCGGCGGCAGACGTAGGGGCCCCCCAAGGGCTGCTGCACCTTTCGCCGAGCATGCACGTACAATTGCGTTTCCTAATTTCCGACGAGCTGGAAAGTATGGGTTTTTATGTTAGGATGATGGTCGGGAAGTACGAAACCACGCCATAAAGACGGGTCACGATTAGCGGTCATATAGAATGATCTTTAATGCTGCATAGGGAAATTCCTGATTCTTTGCTTTCCTTAAAACGGCCATTATTGTTAGCTCGAAAAGGAGGAAAATTCGTACCCACATTTATGGGGCAATGATTTTTCGCAAGTACCTATGAAATCATACAAACTCCGTAGTAATCGATTTTAATGAAAATATTAGTGAATATTTGGATATCACATATTTGAAATAAATTGCTTCCATTGAATGCCAACTTCATGGAGAATATTGATCGAAATTCACCGTCTTTGCATTTCTCTCACAGATTTATAAATGACAAATTGTTAGATAAAGGGCACTAAAATACGTTAAATTACTTGGTGAATACTCACCGTCAACTGTCAAAGGGACTTTTGCTCTTAGTGAATGTCTCACCAGTAAAAGAAAAATGAGAACGAAACAGCGGAGAGAACAATGCTATGGTAGTTATTAATTTGGGTTCTTAGTTACCTTTGGTACTCCGAAGAATTTTGGTATTGGTTTTTGAAGAACTAACCTCATTTATTGTTTGAGTAGTTTTGGATTTAGCACACTGCAGTTTACTGGCTCTGCAATAGAGTGTTATTGTGCAGTTAGAAGTTTTTTGTGACGGGGATCGTTGGAGGAATGGTTTCCTTACGAAATCAGAAAATCTTGAATTTTACCAAAAAAATTACACAATTTGCTGAACCCACTATGAATATAACGCTTTTAAGTTGGCGAATGTCTTGGTTGTTCGTCAAATAATATAGGCTGAAATGACAAGCTTCAAGCTTCCAATCTACTCAGCAGATAGCGGAATAATATGTAAAACACTTGTGAATATTAAAAACCATATACATATTTATATGGCATAAACCGTGAAGTGGTATTTTACAGAATATCATAAATCCCAGCCCAAATGAAACTAAATAAAGATTAAATATTCGCTTTCTAGGTCATTCTTAATGATCCGCTAGTCATGATTGGCCTTGTATATTGAAAAACTGTACCAAAGTTGAGTGAGACGTTGAAAATGTGTTCTTTTTTGTTATATATATGTATGCGTTATGATAGAATATGTAAACAAGTAATGATTTTTATGAGTTTGGGGTGTTTCATATCGATCTCTTATAAGAACTATGTTTAAAAGGTTTGATAATCGCTGAAGAAAGCAAAATATGTCTGAAGCCGAACTTTGAATCTTTCAATTACACAGGGTGTCCCAGAAATAACACAGCAGAGTGACACGGGAGGTAGATTGGCTTTAGATCAATCAGATAAAATCAACATGACCTTAGTAAAAGTTTTCTAGTCTTAGAGATATTGCCACTTTTAGGTTTTTTCAAAAAATTGCTACTTGTTGCTCCTATTTTGCCTGTTATGGCTTTTAAAAACTTTTAACTTATGAGTTTTTTCCTGGGATACTATTAATAGTTGGTTGAGACAACCGAGTATTCATTTTATTGAAAACTAGCACGGTATGCTAAAAAAAATTAATACATTTTGTTTCAATGTGAAAACATTTACTAAAGTTTAACTAATTACTGTGAAAAAAATGTACCAGACTGAATGATCTTAAAAACTAGCCTATTTAAGGCCCTTTTAAAAATAGTACAACATTTGTAGGTTCTTTCTAATAAAAATTGAATGAATCGAAGTTTTGTCATTGAAGTGGTAATACTTGCGAAATACTACAAATAAAAAATAAGAGCAGCAGTCTTTTGTAACCAATTAACTAAGGAATGAAACGACCTAAACAGCGAAAGAGCTAAATAACACGTGTGTAGTACTAATACAAGGAGCAGTACTAAATTAACCACGCACGTGCGGTGCGCTGGTACCACTCTGTTCTTCGAGGTAACATAATGCTACCGACCAATCAATGAATGCGAGAGAGGGATAGCCAATAGGTCGTTTCATTACTCAGTGATTTGGATACAAAAGACGGCTGCACTTATTTTTTATTTGTAGTATTTCGCAAGTATTACGACTTCAGTGACAAAACTTTGAATTATTCAATTTTTAGAAGAAAGAACCTACAAATGCTATACTATTTTTGAAGGAGCATTAAATAGGCTAGTTTTTAAGATCATTAATTTGCCGAGTCAGTCTAATACATTTTTTTTTCACTGTAATTAGTCAAACTTTAGTAAATAAAGGTTTTCACATCTAAACAAAATGTATTTATCTTTTTTTAGCATACCGTTTCAACGAAATGAATGCTCGGTTATCTCAACCAACTATTAATGGTCGCCCAGGAAAAAACTCATACTTTAGAAGTTTTTAATAGCAATAACAGGCAAAAAAGGAGCCAAAAGTAGTGATTTTTTGAAAAAACCTAAAAGTGGCAATATCTCGAAAACTAGAAAACTTTTAATAAGGTCATGTTGATTTTATCTGATTGATCTAAAGCCAGTCTACCAATCGTGTCACTCTGGCGTGCTATTTCTGGGTCATTACATTTACGAGATTTAGCACACTTGTCTTGTAAAGTTGAAGATTTCCGGGGTAGTAATGATTTTTTGCCTTAGTATATGATATCAAAACCTCAAGAAAGGCATTTGCAGTATTTGACAAATTAATTCAGAATTTACTGGAACTGAGACCTAGTATGTACACATACATCCATCATTCCCGCCTTTCTTGATATGTTGTTTAGAAAGAAACTGAAGTCATTGTTTTCTCATAAGTTGCTTCGATGGACTTCGAAATTGGACAAATACTTTTGTTTCTGTTTAGTATTGTAATTTAGTACCCTAAATTCAAGTGGAATACTTCTGTTTAATATAATGGTCATAATACTCGGGAGCAAGCATAGTTTCTCATATTCCACAAATACTTACATAATCGATTATGATGTGAGATACCCTTTACATCTTTATCATGCTTGTGACAAAGCATCTGATATCTTTCGTCTTTTCAATCTTTCAGATTTCATCTTGCACAATGTTTTTTTGGTGAATACGCACATTTCTTAAGCCAATACTTTTGATCAAAATTTGTACAAATATAAAAGGGCACAATATTAAGTTTCACATGTCTGTTTCTTGCACAAATACCAAAAAAATAAACATGAGTAACGTGATTTAGTTTTCTGTAAATTATTGTGTATAAAACTGTGCCATTACAGAGATTGCATTTATTGACATATTATTGTATTAGCTTTTTTAAGTTGTTTTCTTTTTCTTTAAAAATATTTTTGTAAGTTTAAGTAATGTTATTTATGTTTATAGTTTTAACAAGATGAAACTAACTAATATATATTAGATTTAGTTGCAGACTATTTTCTATGTATGTATTAAGGTGCCTCAAAGGTATTAAATGAGGTTAACCGCGTTCAATTTGAGGTTGCATTCGTCTCTGTACGTGCATCAAACTGTCGACGCACATTTCTAGGACTATCAATAATTTTGAAATAGTCTGCCATAGTTATAAAAAACTTCACAAATACTTAGAGTATGACCGGGCACAAACTAACGTTTTGAAAAATGCCACAGCATGAATATGTTTTTACAAAAAAACCATGGGCTATTAATCATACAACTTAATCTTTGTTCTGCTGTCTTCAAGTTATGACAAAAACTACAAAATGTATTTGTGAGCTTCATGCCAACACTATGGTATAACCATTTTGAAACTAATGATGACCCTAAAAAATAAATTACCTGGCAGAACTTACAGTTCATTTAAAAATCATGTGTGAGAATGTGCGTTAAGCCCCCCATACACGTGCGAACAATTTGCGCTAACTCGGTGTTTGTACAAACGCCTGTTTGTACAAACGCTGGCACATACACGTAGCAAACTGTTGCTAAAACAGGGAGGAAACTGCCTGACACAAAATTTGCACAAACCGTACCATACACGGTCAAAAAACTACTCGAACAACGGGTGTTTGCACAAATTATTTCGATCCTGACCGATTTACTCAAACAGTTTGCACGACCACTCAAACAGCCCCATAGACGGTCGAACCTTTTGCACAAACACCGAGTTTGTGCAAGTTGTTCGCACGTGTATGAAGGGCTTTAGATCAGCCCTGAAGTTCATCCATTTGAACTCTTGCTGACAAGGTAGACATACTATTTGTGCTAACAATGAGTAAGTTGGTGTACAGTTTAAGAGCTAGAAGGTCTTGCATCCAGCTGGTACACGTCAGGTGAATATTTCTGAATAAATGAGCATACTGAAGCTGAAAAAGACGTAAAGAGACATAACTGCAGGAGGAGGTTGACAGTGATCCTCACATCCAGATGGAAATTCTCGTAGGTCACATAGATGTAAAGGCTGGTATATTTGGCAAAATCTTCTTTAAAATGTTCCATTCATGTTTGTGCAAGTTCATAAATTAATCAGTAATTATCATTTGAGCAGACATGGTGTTCACTCTGGAGGTTGATAAAGATCGATGATCAAGTGTCGTATTATCTTTTTTCAGTATTTTGTTCAGATCTCAGGCATTGCATGAAAATGGATTAATTGTTCAAATGAACTGTTTGTTTTGTCTGACAATCTGTGGTATGTTGCGTATAGAACCAAAATACTACTTTCAGCTCAAGTAGTTTTTCGATAATATCATTTGATCATGTTTATAAATATTCTAATTATATTACCTACTTGTGTGTAATTTTATATTTTTTGATATTGTATAACGTACCTAGTATGCTATACGGTACAAAAAATATATGCCACCAAATCAGGAAACTATAAGGACCTTTACAATAGATTAAAATTATGATTAAAAATATACATTAAATGTGTACATAAAATTATATGGCGCTTTACAGTAAAAGTAGCTTCAGTAACATTTAGTAGATAATTCAAATGGTTTTATTTAAGTCATTGAAAGCAGATGGTTATGTCGGGTTTCAATGCTAAAGTTGAGGGCAACCTTACCATTGGTATTGCTCAGCGGAATGCTGTATTCTTGAAATTGGTTTGTATTTGCTTTGTTGATTATATCAGTGACAAAAATATACAAGTCATGAATTATCGAAACAGCTTTCTCAAAAAGATACAAAAACACCGATCAGAAAATCCGCAAAAAATCTAGACATTGTTGTAGAATTATTTGAGATTTTTTTAATAAAAAAGCCGAATATTCGTTCTCATAATTCCAACTCGACAAATTCACGTAAATTTCATATGAATAGAAAAGCATTCTTTGATTGAGCATGAGACAAACTGAATGATGAGGTGCCAAAGCTGAGCAACGACTCGATATAAAAACACGCTGAGTTATACATGCATTTTTAAATGATACATTCCTAAAATATTTTGTATCTTCGACCACATTTACTTTTTAATCATCTAATTATGTGAAATAGGTACTGCTACAGCCATTTCCGTTACAAAATACATCGGATACAATCATCCAATCATGCTGTTATAAAGTACATGATGGTACTAATGTCACTTGTGAAAAGAGCAATTGAAATTTTTGCAAAAACATCCATTGTTCGACTTTTTGATTCATAAGTTTCAAGCATTTAAGACCATGTTTGTCAAAGCATATTAACCTATTTGTAACTGTTTATCATATAACTTGTAAACTAGTATATTTCTACAACTTACATGTAAAACCAAATTGGAAAACGTGACATTAGTAGTGTTAATCTTGTACAAATACACTTGACATTTTAAAAAAAATTAACATAAAGTACATGTATATATAGTATTAATTAGTGCTCTTTATGGCCATACGCAAATATCATCTTTAAAGACTGAAGGTGGTATGTCATCCAAAATGTCTATTATCTATGTCAAGTTGGAGACTCGTTTTAATAGATGTGTTATGTAGCCTATTGTGTAATCGAGCTATTTTTGATCATGGAGCCTGTTTAAACTTAGGACTAAGTTGTCGTCTTTTCTAAACAGGGTGAAAGGTTCCAATTAATGGTAATATGTTTGCGTTCTTCCAAATCTCTATAATCAGCACGCTCACCAAAGATCCCACGTTTTTTCAGTGATTATTAGCAGGTTGTCTTCGCTCATGCGCTTTTTTCGTAAATATATCTGTAACCAATTATGATTGTTTCCTGGTCTATAAGATAAACTCTATGACGTTTAAAGGTCTGCAACCTAAAATATTCTTTGAACTGTCAACTGAGAAAGTTTTTTAATCTAATTCAAGTTCATTCCTTTTATTGCAAACCTTCGTTTTTCAACACTGTTTAAAAGCTAGTCCAACTGAGTAGATTATTATAACCTTCATTTATCTGTAAAACAGTCCTGAAGATCGTTACCACTATGTATTTTATGTTAATTTTGTGCCAGAGAAATACAGTCAAGTTCATTGTGTATAAAAATAGATTTGTAAGTATTCAATGTTTGGTAGTGTATGGAGTTTAACAATAATTTTTCTAGTCAACTTTATTTTCTATTCGTAATCTTCGGCATTATAACATTTTTGTAATTTATTTCAAAAAATAAATCGGTCATATTAGTGTATGATTACTTATTGTTTAAATGTCACTTACATCCGTATCTCTGTGGAATACACGTCAACGTATAGGCTTCAGCGTGTATTTCACAACATCTATATACAGATTGAAGAGTAGTCCAAAGTGGACATATATTTCGAGGGTATGATTCATAATAATTTAGAAAAACCCTGACTTGAAATGATCAATATATTTAGACAGATGTGTTCCATGCTTAAATGGACATAGTCAAATGGTAGGAAGTATGTCTGAAAACAAAAAAGTTCTGAATTCAGTTTTTCCTGATATCGATGGTCTAGTCTCAAAACCCCGTATCTAACATTTGACTACTTTTTCAGAAAACGCGAAAAGCATTTTTTTTTAAATAGGCTCATCCCGCGAACTATAAAAAATAACACGTATCAAAAATTAGATTGTTGTTTACATGTTTACTTTTATCATAAATAATGAATCACAAATTTTGATTTCAAAAGACGAGAATATTCATTAATTACTGACCTGATAGCGCTGACAAGCAAAATATTATACATAGACCAAAACGACTAGAGAAAGAAAAATCTTGAACCTTAGAAAATGAACAGAGCATTGATACTACCTGGTATGGCATTAGCTGTAACTGATACCTGTTATTACAGATAGTTGGGTAAGAAAGCGTTCTACGAGCGTAAATTACTGCTGATCGTTTAACTTCATAGCTTAGTGCTATGCAACCACAGATACCAAAAACTCAATTTTTTAGATTTTGATGACATGCTGTATTGCCACTAGGCCATCGATTTATCTAGACAAATCTGTAATATCACATATCAATTTCGAACCGATTTTGTTAAAATTTTGCAAGATAGCAACATTACCTAGGAGTAACGTAAAACTAGGCACTAGAAAAGTCCAGAGTCGGACTCGATCTTTTAATTTTTTTACTTTTTATCAAAATCAACACCTGAATATTCAAATTAAATATGTATAAAAATGCCAACAAATGGTGCCAATTAATTGGCAAAATAAATTGATTGTGCCTCTTTTGGTTAAATTTTTTATTTATTCAAATATCTGATTTTTAGCAATGTACGTGGAACAAAACTCAAAATTTCAAGTATTATCAGCTTGGTTTCATTCACATTTTACAAAATATTGTTTAAAATTGAAGTAAAGATGTTTTGGGAACTGTGGGACGGATTCAGTATTTTTGTTTCCTTGTATTGTGTTAGGTGCCCTGCAAATTATACTCTGCTTTTATTATTATTTGCAGAAAAAAAAGCAGCACGTGATATTCGTATAAGAGAAAATTAGTGTTATACCTACACCCTATTTATGTTCCCAAATATTTTTTTAGTGATTTAATTTTAATTAATGATACTGAAGATCGCGAGTTCTTGTTAAAAAGGGAACGGCACTTGAATGCAGTTCGACTAAATTTGACCTTCCAGAAAAACTTGAGTTTAAGTTAAACAATCACAAAAACGTAGTATGCAGATCCGGACTTGAAATTTAATTGTGTGATGTACATGCATTATGCAATAAAATCTCACCTAGGGTTGTGGTGAGGACAGGTAAATACAACTATGTTGATAATAGTTCGGACCTGTACCGGTTTTTCTGCGTTTTCATGATAATCTTGAATTGGTCCCGAGAGATAAAATTAAAGCATTTGCATATTAAATCCTATTTCCCTTTAAATCATGACTCATGTTGTATGACATCAGGTGATGGGATAAAATAATTTAAAAGATTAATGAAAAAAAAAACAACAGGTTGCACAACATTCATTTTCCCTATTATTTGTATCACATATTTATTGCGAAATGTAAACTTACAGCACATTGCACTTCATATAATACTTGATTAAACATTTTATAAAATCCTTACTTGACCTTGATCTGACCCTGGGATTTTGAGGTCCCAAAACATCTTTAGTTCAATTTCATTATTTTATATAATGTTGATGAAACCAAGTAACCCTTGAAATGAATGTGTCACAACTGCTAAAAATAAGATATTTGAATAAATAAATAGTTTTAATAAAAAAAACTAAAAAGGCAATCAATCTATTTTGCTAATTAATTAAAACCATTTATTGGCTTATTTTTGAATACTCAAACATTTCCACATACAGCCAAAAAGGTGTTGATTTTGATGGGAAGAAATTGTAAAAAATGCGACAGGGCCTTGACTTTTTAACCGTCCGTCTAGTTTTGCGTTACTCTAAGGTAACTTTGTCATTGTGCTAAATAGCAAAATCGGTCCAATAGTCCCGGAAATATGCGATATTAAAGATTTGGCGTATTTAGATAAACCAGCTGTAAAGTCTTAGAACTTTTTGTTTTCATATATGAAAAAGGTCCATACTACCTACCTCTTCACCATGTCCATTTAAGTATGGTTTTTAGCGTTGTCGCGCAAAAAGGTGAAAAGAATAAGATATGTTTTACGACCTTCAATGTCATAAAAATTAGTAAATGTCCTGGTTCTGGAAATGGCTGTGCCATATCAAAGCTGATTCGATTGCAGCGAGTAATCTTTATGTAAGATAAAATCCAATCTATAAACCCCTCGTCCGCTGTATAGTATCGATAAAAAACAACATACCATAACTCTGAACTGGAGCAAAACTCACAAACAATAAATGTCGAATCTGTATTCATTCTTTTGCAGCTAAAGTTATCTAACCTTCGCGAAACAGTTTTGCCTAAAATATTTTTTGTTTGAATGGTTGGAATTTAGTGGATATATATTTGTTATATGAGCAGGGAAAAGCATTGCATTGCCATTCATTAGAATTGTCGTTTAAACATAATGATTTTCGCCGTTTCCATCACTGCATCTCTCAAACCCTTAATGTAATGCTTTTTTCATTATCATTGACTAAGCTTACTAATATCCTTGAATTTTAATCCATAGCACCTGATACAATAATATATACACTGTTAATGTTTATCATTCTACAGGAAAGTTGGAGAGAAACAAATTGGTATGTCTAAACAAGTTTTGGTTTGGTCATCAATTACAGCCCCCTTATTATAACGCTAGGCAGAATGACGTTTCTATGTTTGTTTTTCTATCAGATAGTGGGATTTTAAAATAGCTCCCACAACACGTTTATGAACGATCTAGAATCAAACATTAAAACTAATATTGTATTAATTTATCATCATTATTGAATAAGGAACCTTAATACTTTGCACTTCGAACGTGATTTTCGGAGAAGTTTTTATAGCAAATGTTTTACCTGTGTGCGGAATGGACTTTTCAAAGGACGTTTAAGTTTATCTGACAAACCTGAAGATTTTCGTAAATTCCGGATATTTATACCTCATGTTTCATGAAGATTGTTGACATTATGGTTCATATATGTTACCCATTCCGTTTCAAATCATAGTTTTAGAGCTTATACATTGGTGAAAATAGATACGTTAATCTGTCTAACACTACATAATAAGTGCATACTAAATATGAATCTGCTTTAAATCGAACCCAAATTTTCGGCTTTCGGTTCTTCTGGTTATAACCTTCCTCTTTAAAAGTTCCACGTGAGAAACAATATATTTAAAAATGGAACCACTTGTCAAGCAAAATCATATTTGGAAGATTGTCATCTAGTATCACTCCCAAGATAAATAATAGCATCACTATCCAGAAAGGATATGAATCGATTAGATTAATTTCATTAATAATCCTTAATTTGAGATATTTTCAAAAACATTATTTTGTTGTTCTGAATGACAGGAGCATAGGTTGTGCATATCAAAATTTGGATAAGTTTGAATAATTCTATATCGCGTATATGCACAAGCATTGACCTGTATAATGTATAAAATGGATATAGGAGGATACCATTATAGATGAAACACTAGAGAGAGCGGTGTATGTTTCCAAATATCAGTAAATGTAAAATTCATAAGCTGGATTTTATTGTTACTCTCATTGTATGTTTGTTTCTCTGTGATGTGAATACGATAAATAAATTTTACCCATTTCGAAATGGTCATATTTTTTTGTTATACGTATCCATTTTAAAATATTGCTGTACAGATGCTGTAGTAATGTTGATGTAACATTAGCGGGAACGCCCTTTTTTCTAGCTCTATGATGTCTATACAGAAGTTTCAACTGGTATAACCGTCTCTAGAAAGACAGTAACATTTTATTCAAACAGAAGTACAGAAACAGGATATAGGATATAATAAGCGGGGGTTTTCGGCCCTGAAATACATAAATTTACATAAATTTCAAGTTGATAGCATTTCAATGTTTGTGTGCCTATTTTAAACTTTCTTTGGCCTTTTTCTTTTTGTTTCAGTAATTGATTGCTAGTTTCAAAATGTTCAGTTTATATACACTGAGACACAAAACATATATAAAGGTAAGAGTGGTGCTCCACCGCGTTCGCATTCAAAACAAAGTACACGTTCACTGCCACCAACGCGGCTCCCGCGTTCTTATGTTCTTGACCATGTGCCAGGCACGCGGCTCCCGCGTGCTGTATCTGTGGTGATATATACGGCTGGAATTTTGTCGGCATACCGCACAATCAGTTTATTTCAGGCAGGCATATAGTAAACAGGTGTATAGTTGTGAAAATAAGAATTGGTTTGCGTTTTGCTCTATTTCGTTTCTGCTGGCCTATATTTATTGTCTGAAGTGAATATACCAGGTAAGACGTGTTTAAATACTTATATTTTTTCAATTTTGTTGGTAATTAAAATATAGTTATAGTGTCAGTAGTTTTATTATTCAATGAGCTTTTTTTATACAGTACAACGCGGCTACCGCGTTGACGGCATATGGCATAATTTTTGTTGCTTAGTGTTTCGATATTGATTTCGGTCAGAAGTAGGTATTGTTTTATGTAAATAATTACTTAAAACAATATTTTTTCATAAAAAAGGGAAAATGTCACTTATTTTTACCTTTTTTTGCAGATTGGTTTCTAAATAAAACAATTCACAGAAAGAGTGAACATGGACAATGAGAATTGTGAAGCGGGTCCTTCTCAGCCCAAAGCAAAGAGGGCTAAGAAAACGAATTCTTTTCCTCTGTCAGATGCCGAATTATTGAAGTTATTAGAAGAGTCCGACGATGAATTAGAACTGTTAGCAAATGAAACGGATTCAGATTCCTCTGATGAGAATGAAATACTTTCCAAGACACCTGAGCAAGCCCATATTCCCGATTTACCCACTGCTTCTCCACATTCGCCGGCTGCATCGCCCATTTCAGATCTGCCTTCTGCACCACCTTCTCCACAGCAGCTTCTAAACCTTCCAGCGGACCCTTCTTCATCTGTTCGAACATGGCTAACAGATTCGCCCAATGTTGCATTTATCCCATTTACAGGAGCTCCAGGATTAAAAGTCTTGTTAGATGGTCATAGTCCTATAGATTATTTCAATTTGCTAGCCGATGATGGTTTTTATGATTTAATTCTTGAAAACTCTAATAATTATACAGTTGAAATACTAGCACAAAGTACCGGGGACCAAAGCAGGATAAATTCATGGAGAGACATTACCAAACAGGAGTTCAAAATATTTCTGGGGCTTTTATTTCACATGGGAACCATTAGACTGAACCGAATGAATGATTATTGGAAAACTCATTTTCTATTTAATATTACAGTTTTTAGCAGTTTTATGAGCAGAAATCGGTTTTTACTCATCTTACGTGCTTTGCATTTCAGTCAGAATCAACCAAATGAGCAAAATAAGCTGGCTAAGATAGCACCCTTGATGAATTTTTTAAATTCAAAGATGGAAGAAATATATTATCCAAGTAGAGAGCTGGCTTTGGATGAGTCTATGGTTCTCTGGAGGGGCCGACTCAGTTTTTGACAGTATATACAAGGAAAACGGCACAAGTATGGAATGAAACTCTATGTGTTGGCGGAGCCTAGCGAATGGTTCAAAGGACAATTGTTTATGGAGGATCAGCTGATACAGAAGTTGGAGGTTCCAAGCACACGGAAAAAGTTGTTTTGAAATTGATTGAGACGAAAACTGGCGCGGGACATTCTCTCTATATGGATAATTATTACAACATCTGACCAATTATTGCGAGCCAAAACATATTCAACTGGCACACTTAGAGCCAATCGTGCCGGAAATCCACATAGTGTTCTGACAAAAAAAATTAAAAAAGGTGAAACCTATTGCGAGTATACACCTGAAGGCATATGCGTTTGCAAATGGAAGGATCGACGGGAGATACTGGCCATTTCAAGCGAGTTTGGCGGGGAATTTATAAAAACTACTTCGAGAAGAGGCATAGAGCAGGACAAACCCAAGCTTATCGCTGAATACAATAGGTTTATGAGCGGCATTGATCAGAATGATCAAATGCTTAGCTACTATCCATGTGAACATAAGACACTGAGTTAATTTCAGGGCCGGAAAAATCTCTTAACCTGATTCGTTAAAATGAAAAAGATCACTGAGCAATTGCTACAAAAAATGTTAGATTTCAAAGTACTTGCATTAATTATCTTGCTGATACTGAGATCATGCAATTTGTGTCTGACGAAATTTCAAAAAATTACGGGTCCTGAATTACAAAACTTAACCCGACATCAAACTTTCTGCAGATTTAGCCTATGTCGGTTTTCTGACACTATTTTTTATTGGCCTACGCAGCGAATCAAAACTTTTACAACAAACTCTTCTAAATATTTTTGACAACACGGAAATGTGTGAAATATACTTTTCCTATCGCAAATCCTGTAAATTCTGAAGTAAGTAAAATAGTATTATTAGCCTACAGAAATTGAAGGATAATCCTGTAGTTTCAGTCATGACCTAATATATGGCAAAATGTTGTTTTTTTAGAAGTCTTACAGTTTTCGAGATTTTCAGCATTTCTTTTTTTGTGAAAAACCTGCATTCAGTTAATCCACTGCCATTTCTACGAATAACATTTTTAGCTAGGTTTGTTTCAGAACACTCACAACCACCCTGTATTATTTGCAGCTAGATGATTATCCTGAATATTCAGTTTTAAGCAGATACAATTTACAAAATGTGTCCTGTCAAAAAAATCGGTTTAGCGATTATTTAAATGTGCCAAAACTTGTGAATAATTTTAGATAAGAGGAAAGCAGCTAGGTTTGATGGAAGCTGTGCAGTACATGGTGGAACCCTCGAGAAAAATGAGTGTTGTGGTAGAATGGGTAAAAAGTCGGTACTTTGAAAGCTTTTTTGTTCATTCTGGGGTATAAATGAAAATGATCCGTTGCTACGATACTAGGTATTGAAAATTGGACAGTAACTTAAGCAGTGTTTCTAAAAATGAGTGAGAGAATGAGTAGTCAAAAACAAGGAGCTTGTAGACACCCTGAGGCCCTATCATGATCTACCAATTACTGGGTTGGTGATTTCTTGTCCGAATTTTGCTCACCAGAACCTAATAACTCATCAGTCTGAGTGGGGTATTTCTCAGTACACATGGTCAGATGAGGGCAAAGTCCATGTGGTAAGTGTAGACAAGCCAAATTAGAGTGTTATTGGATTATCACTAATTTAAAATTACTTTATTTTTGTCCCATAATAATGTCTCGCAAGTTGATTTTTGTCGTACGTACTCAGGACTATTTCCATTTCTGGACACAATTTATATGCTTGAAGGGCAACACTTGTAACTTACAAAAAAATGGCGTCTGGGCACCATCTTGTACCATTTTTTTAAAGGAATGACGGGTCATCTGAAACCTTATTTTGGAAATCGTAAGTACTTACATGGTACTCGCTTTCTTACTCTGGAATACAAAAACACTATCAAAATACCTGGCAGGCTGTCAATGTTGAGCTTCATTTTTATTGTAGGATTATTGAGTAGTCATAATACAAAATGAAGTATCACGCAACCTTCCATTGATTAAAAAAAGTTTCAAAATCGCGCACAGCCGTCATTTTGGAATCCTACACTGACTCTCTTACACTAAAATATATTATTCATGCAGCAATTCTGTTACCCAAATTTCAGTTAGCTAACTTGACCTGCTAAAAAAATAAGTAATATATTTCCTTAATATTGATACCAGTTGTGACTCCAAGTACTTATTATCACACCATGTTTATTTTTTTTTTGTCTCAACAGGGTCAGCACTTGAATGAGTTTTTCTGTTGTTGGCCCTTTTTGCAATTACATTTATTATTAACATGTGATGACCTCGAAGTTCGGAATATACTTGGTCATCATCATTATTAAAGGGATGAAGTGTTTATTAGGAATCCATAGAAGTCTGCTGCACATGCGCCATGGCCAGTGTGGACTATCAACAACATACCTTATGGCTGAGTCAAGTCTGAAACACATAGTGACATTAGTGACACTACGTAGTCGTGCCATAAGTTCTGTCCCATGATAATCTCATGATAAAAATGAAACAAGATAAGATATATTTATATGAAAGATATTATTTATTCGACAACATTTTTAGAATACATAATCAAACAGTTTTATTCAAAATGTCCCCCCTTGGCCTTCACACACTGCTTCAATCTCGCGGGCCACTCATCTATCACTGCACGCACAGCTTCCAAAGGAATAGCTGCCGCTGATCGGATCAAATCCGCTTTCAGGGACTCGATATTACGGTGGGCTTTGGAGCAGGCCAACTGCTCTAGCAGGTCCCACAACTTGTAGTCTAAAGGATTGAGGTCCGGACTCCCTGAGGGCCAATCTTCCGCAGCAATGAACTCTGGCACATTGCTTTCCAGCCAGCGCTGCGTACTCTTAGCCTTGTGAGCGGGGGCGGAATCCTGCTGGTAGACCCAGTGTTGGTTGGCAAACAATGTACCACTTAAAGGCTTGACGATAGGATCCAGTATGTCGCTCTGATAGTTTGCCGCTTTTGTTTTCACGCCCTGTTTACAGAAATGGAGCTGAGTGACCCCTTCGTAGGACACCCCCCACCAAACCATGACTGACGCAGGGTGGTGGCCTCTCTCAACTCTCGGAATGATCTCCGAAGCTTCCTGTGAACTCCTTGCATACACTTTGTCATTTTGTCGGTTGAATTTTTCTTCTATGGTGAAGATTTTCTCATCCGTGAACAAAATCTTTCGGAATCCCCCAGCTGCGTACCTCTCCAAGAGCTTCTTGGATCTTGTCGCCCTGATGTGTCGCAAGGTGGCCGTAAGTCGCTGGCCCGTACGTCTCCGGTAAGCCCCTAGCCCTAGGTCTTGTTTAATGATGCGCGACATCGTCCGGACAGGAATCTTCATTTCCCTGGATAGGATCTTCTGCTTCCGGAGTGGATTCCTTTGAATCCTGGCTTTTACGGCTTTGATGGCTGCTGGAGTCCTTACTTGACGAGGTCTTCCGCTTCTTGGCCTGTCATCAACAGAGGACGTCTCATTGTACCGCTGAATGGTCCTAGACACAAATTTACGCGATATTTGAAGGCCGCGTAAGAGTTCAAAAATCTGACTAGCACTGTGATTACACTTATGTAAAGCTATCACTGCAATACGGTTCTCTGCCTTGCCCCACTCCATCGTTATGCTTCGAGAGATCAATACAAACTGAGGTATATGTAATTACCCGAAAAGCGCTTAATCAACTGACACCACAATGTAAACAATCGGACAAGTATTAACAGGTCTACACTTGTTTGAAAACGAGGGACAGAACTTATGGCATGACTTCGTATATTGTCATAAAGGAGTCGAATAAAACATTTATCACATCAGCTTGAGATGATATGACTATCTGAACACACTCATTCTGAAAACTTCTGAGATGAGAGTTTTGAATTGGTGTCGCATATTACAACATCCATACAGGGTTTGTCCGGAAAGTAATAGGACTGAGTCGACTTAAAAAAATTTATTGAGCCAATGGTTAAATTCTTTAAAAACTTTCAAAATAGGCTCCTTCTCCGTCGATGCAGCGCTGTCAGCGCGATTTCCAAGCATTGAAGGCGTCACGGAAGGCATTCTCCGGAATAGCCTTGAGAGCCGCGGTGCATGCTGCTTGGATCCCCTCTGTCGTCTCAAAATGCTTGCCTTTCACCGGCCTCTTCAGACGAGGAAACAAGGAAAAGTCCGGGGGGCCACATCTGGGCTATAGGGCGGCTGCGGAAGCGTTGGGATGCCGGCCTTGGTCAGGTAGCTGTTAACAAGAAAGACGGTGTGAGTCGGGGCGTTGTAGTGGTGCAACTTCCAGTCGGCTGCGATGTCTTGTCGGACCCGACTGACCCTTCGTTTGAATCTCCTGAGCACTTCCACGTAAAACTTGGCGTTGACGCTTTGTCCAGGAGTAACAAATTCATGGTGGACGATGCATTTGATGTCAAAAAAGACAACGAGCAACGTTTTCACTTTGGATTTGCTCATTTTTCCTTTTTTGATTGCCTCTTTGTTTCGGGATCATGCTCAAAGATCCACGATTCGTCACCTGTGATTACGTTATTCAAAAATTGGGGGTCACTTTCACACATGTTCAAATTTTCTTGGCACACTTCCACTCGCCGCAATTTCTGGTCGTCAGTGAGCACTTTTGGGACCATCTTCGCGCATACCTTGCGCATGTTCAAATGCTGTGTCACAATGTCATGAACCACAGATTTTGGTAAATTTAACATCTGGGCAATTAAACGAATACTTAGTCGACGGTCTGAGTTCAAAACTTTGCGCACACGAGTCACATTATCGGTGTTTGTCGAAGTCGAAGGTCTACCAGCACGGTCTTCATCAGCGACCTCTTCCCGGCACTCCAAAAAGGCCTGGTGCCACCGAAACACACCACCTTTTCTTGCTAAAGCAAGACCTGGGTAAGCCTGCTTGATCATATCAAACGTCTCTGTCGTTGATTTACCGAGTTTCACACAGAATTTAATCGCGTACCTCTGCTCTAACGAACGTTGCATTTTCGACTTGCACCACTCACAGAAACACGTCGCGCGAAAATGCCTGTCCTGACTCTCCAAGTGCTCGGAGACAACTGACCGGCCGCTCATTCGTTAGCTAGGAACGCCCTCTACCGAATCCAGTCGGTGCGCGCACGCTCCGATGTACAGTCATGGCGGAAGACAATGAGTCCTATTACTTTCCGGACAAACCCTGTATCTGCCCATAATTCAATGCATCTATGACATGAGTCATGTGAGCCCAACTTCATGGACCTATTCAGCCTAAAAGATATAAATGATGGACCATTAATGGATGAGACCAACATTCAACTTATTTTTGTACCGAATACATTGGTAATGCCAAAAAAAAGAAATATTAAAAAAGGTAATAATTCAGAAAATTATTTTATTTTTATATATTCACAGTAAATCAACAACATTGTTGCCTGTAGAAAGATAAATGAAGATGCAAACTTGTATAACATGCTAATGAGATATAAAAATATTCAACCACAAAGCGGTGTATGTAAACAGAGAGAAGGCTAAATAAAAAATCATAGTTTACTAAATCACCCCAACTATTAATTTTTTCTTTGGCTGGTTGACTCTCATTTTGGGACCAGTACTGTAAACTCAATATATACTCCATATTAGCTCTGAAATGCTTTGTTTGTCTTATTAAATTATCACTTTGGGAGAACAAAACTCTTTGATAGTATCCATGGTTGTCCAAATATAGCCTGGTCGTGCAGGTGCATGGATTGTGGGATAAGGAGTTGTTTTAGCCTTGTAATAGTCAGATGGGGCATGCATTACAAACTCCAAGCAGTCTAAGCATCTTGAAATATCTTCTTCAGGTCCTAAAATTGGAACAGAAAAGAACATTATTATAGCTGTACTTTGTTCAAAACTGGTGTGTATGTGCATGTTATTAAATACTTCAGCTCTATGAATGCAGTTCAACTAATATAGATTTGTTAGTAACCTACCCATAATATAAGTAGCTGGATCAAAAGATTCATTTGGATTAGGACTTTCTTGTGTTGGTAAAAGCCATGTTAATACAGCACTCTTCTCACAATACTGGTCTGTAAGCAATCCTTTGATTTGGGCATAGTAGGTGTCTCCTCCCTCATCTTTAACTGACACAATATCACCAATCTGTATATAGTTACCCTGAAAAGAAAATTATTATCTCATGTATACTTCACAAGTTTTTTTTGAATTAAACATACATGTGGTTTGATGTTGCTGAACAATGTATGTAGACTTATGAACAAGAAAACTACAGAAGTTTCATTATAGCTAAAGCAGTTCTATCAATATCAAATCTTTTAAATATGGTTTCATTAGACATTGCCATAGATATGTTAAATTATGCTTTATATGCTGCCACTAATTATTTTTATATATATGTACCAGAAACCTTATAGAAGACAGAGTCACTGGTGACAATTGTTGCCACAGCAGTTGGTGCCTTCACTGGTGTTTTTTTCGCCAAACCTCGTCTACCTCGACCTTTTGGAGTTGCAGTCTTCGGCACGGCAAAAGGATTCAGCCGAGTTTTATAAGACCTAGTAGCTCTAGTTTTCTTCTTGGTGGTCTTGTGGTCGTCCTCCTCTTCTTCCTCAAGTTCTAATTTAAGGTTATTTTTCGTTTCATTCACGCAGTCCAAACACAAAACTCCTAGATTTTCAGCATTAGTCCACATAGGTGACTCAGTGGCCTCGCATTTTAAACAAACTTGGGAACCTTTCAGAGGCATTTTGCTGAATATTTTTGGGTTGTTTTTAACATATTTTTGTTATTTGAAAGTGGACAAAATACAGGTTAAAAACAACAAAGATGTGTCAAGACTTTCAAGCACAAAACACTTTTCAACGTGACAGCCCATATATCACAAACGGTATAGTGATGAGAGGTTTATAAAAGAATATACCGGTAACTGTTTTACTAGAACTCCAAAGTATTATTCAGTGATCCCCAAAATTATGATTATCAATACATACTTGCCTTCCATGCTGTCACAGAATATACGCGTGTTTTTGGGAAGTTTATGCAACGGAAACCGTCAGGTGACAAATATATAAAAATGTCTTACACATTATGGCTAAAATCGAAGGCAGCATAGTACTCGTAATACGCCTTTTAAGACCAAAAAGGAAAGAGATATTCTCGTCCTAGATATAGATAGATGTTCAATTTCGATTTTTCACGACTGAGAAAGAAGTCAAACCTCTAAAATCATGTTAAATAATCCAAATTTTATCAAAAATAAATGGACAGCTCTGTTTCATCCTCATCAGAAATTATCGCCGCCGCGATCAGATTTTCACCCTAGGCATCGCCGTGCATTACTCGTAATTTTTTTTAAGGTTGGTTTTGCCCGGCTGTCTACTATGAAAATGACGTTCTGCAGTTTTTGGAAATCGGTGCAGTAGCGGTGGAGTGCGGTGGAGCTATCGTCGAAAAACAAACAAAAAACTGTCAAACTTCGTTTTTCGAAATTTTTGAGGCTTCTGGCAGAAGTTTTTGTCGCTGAGGACAGATCTGAAATTATTTTTGGCGCTCGAAAAAATTGTGTCATCTTTTATTTTTTTCTTCAGATGTAAAAAGGTTTCAGCGCAACACTGACAATAGACGTTGGCAGGTCCGAGTAAAGATAACATGGCCACGCAAGACAACTGTTGAAATGTATTCTACGAGACTCTAGACTCTGTAGCGAAATTTTTGCGGAAATCGTTGCATAACACTTAAAAAAATGCAAATGAAAATTGCCGCTTGACGTTCTAAATGATTTTGTCGGTACCCCGGGATAGACATCGTCATTCTTGCCACCTGGATTACGGCGCTGCCAGCTGATCGGACGATTTTGCTACCCGGGGGGTGAAACTCATATTGGCGAATAGGAAACAAAGCAGTGTTGCTGGTGCATAATATGACAACCATGTCGCACCCTGAAAAAATGGCTGCTGACAACCATACAAGTCACCGTGTTGCCATTGAATAGCATGGAATTAAACCTTCTTCAGTGTATATGTTATGTGTTGCTACCCCTGCTATTTTGATTTAAACAAGTTTTGAATAAAATATTAATATATAAAATTTGAGGCGGAACGTTAATGTCTCTGTACATTTTTTAAATGCCCAGCTTTTTAGGATACTTTTTGAATACTCTTCCAATTGGAAAAAAAAAACAATGTTTTATTATATAAGTATATTTATCAACTATTTGATCAAAAATTGCATGATCATTAATAGGAAAAGTACGATTTTCATTTTACTCGACTATTAGTATCCGTCTTTATACGCAGAGATATTAGGCATTCATTTTGAGGAAGCTAAAAATGGATAGCTTGAATCCAACTTATAACTCGTCGATCATGTGGACGCATCAAATCCCTACTCTTGTTGGACATTTGGTGCCCACATATCCTCCAACAACCAAACTTGATAAAGTATCAAGTATAGGTATTGACTTCTAGCTCTTTTCAAACAAGGATGTATGTTTTTTTGAAATGCTGTACCTCCCTTTTGGGAAAGTTATTTTGAAATTCCTTAGATAATAATTATTTACAGGGTGTAGCACAAAATGTTCAAAAAATCCTATTTTTTGTTTAACACGTTACCTGCCAGTTCGGTCAAAATGACCGAAAGGAGTGGTATGCAATCAGGCCGCGTTGGTCATTATGACCGAAAATTTCAACGGTTCTATACTCGCTTCTAGAGCGCCGTCGGTCAGGAGCTGTACCATGATATGCATAATGCGTGACCGAAACGGCCTGACGAGCAAAAGGCATATGAAAACTTTTTGTTTTTTCTGTTTGGAGATTTGTTTTTCTCATTTTTTATTATTAAACACGTTAGTTTACTGTCAAATTTTATTTTATAATATATGATTTAAGATTAATGACATGAACAGAAACATTGGAATGAAGAACATTTTATGAATTTAAAATGTATTCTGTTGTAGCACGTCAGACACAGAAACGGTTCATTTGGACATCCTGAACAAAACGTGGTTACTTTCTTGACTGTTCTTCTTTCTTTGGTCTCTTTTCCATCTTGAACTGCTTTTTCATAGCATCCCTTGCAATGTTTCCTTACGGCAACGGCCCTCCCTTCTTTTTTTACCAAATTATGGCGTACTCTTTTTGGTCTTTCTGGTTCCATTATTATTTGGTTTTGCTGTTATAATAACAGTAACTCAATGGCCAGTTTTTTGTACCATTTCACAGTTTTTCGTAGAGTTGAAGAATACGCAGCCATTTGATCGGATAAATCGACAGACGATTTTGCCTTATTGTAGTCTGCTACAACCTTAGGTTTAGTAACACTTTCACCGTTCCTTTTCGGAACATCAACCGTTTCATTGGTGTGTTTGGTTGATAACAATTTCCAATTGAGAACGGTAATTCCTTTGTTATTCTCTTTCGAAATTATTTCACCCCTTCTCATTTTACTTTTTTGAGTTACTTCTTTCGGCACATTTTTTTTTATTTCTCCTCAATGTTCCCACTAAATGAGTTTTTTTATCGAGAAGCTTGTTAGCAAGATCGATGCTAGTGTACCAGTTATCTGTGTAAACCGTACGGCCAACATTCAAAACAGATTCACATAGTTCCATAACCACGCTAGTTGGTGTTGTTTTTAGTACTTCAAGATTTTTCCCAGCATATATTTTCAGACGTAAAGTATATCCATGTCCTGTACAAAGCTTGAACAATTTGATACCATATTTATGGCGCTTTTGTTTCATGTACTGACGCATAATCAGCCTGCCCCGAAAAGGAATTAACGACTCGTCAACACACACTGATTCCAAAGGATGATAAAGAGCCTCAAAATTCTGCACAAGCTTATCGACTAGGCCTTGAATTTTATGTAGTCGATCCCCTTCTCTGCATTCATCATTGTTGGCAAAATGAATCATACGTAGCAGTATTTCAAACCGATTCCGAGGCATCACAATGGATGCAAACTCGGTTTTGAAAATGGGATCTCTGCATTGGTGAAGTCGTGACGAGGCAGAAATATTAGAATGATTTTCTAACTGCTGAGTAGCATAAATGTTGGTTTGGTCTGCAATCATTTGGAAAATGGAATCTTCAACCACTGCCATGTAAAAATCTTTCGGATGACCTTGTACTAATTCTTCAATCACCGTTGGACTTACCCCAAAATACTCCCGAAGCTCGCCAAATTGCATCTGTTGGCCGCTGGGTAAGTACCAGGTGTCATTATTTTCATCGTTTACCTGCGTATTTGCTTCACCAAAATCATCCTCTGAAGTGCTAGGATTGTTGGAATAAGTCATTATTGCCGAGGCCTTTTTACGATTCTGCTGTGCATCATCTCGTGAAGATTGACTGGATGACGATTCACCTGAAATAAATCATTTTTATATTCTTGTATATCTACCTATAATTCATGCTTTAGTATATTATTATTTATATAATTTTTATATTACCTTCTGAGCTAGGTTGAAAATCTCTGACCGAGTCGTCTATGTCTTCATCAGACATATCACGCATGATCATCATTTCTGCTTCTGTAAGTTTATTTTCATTACGAATAAACGAATACTTTCCGTTTGACATCTCGTGAATAGGAAATAAAATTGTGAAGCCAATAAGACGTGCAGTACACCCGACAGCTAATAATCAACTGCTACAAGATAAGCGCAAACTCGCCTCTCTGCCGGCTAACCCTATTCTTCCGACCGCGTGTAAAATTAAAGGTTAGGTGACCGAAGTAGTGACCGACGCGGCCCAGAGATACCAAATTAACCTTGCACGCCGCGTGGGTCATTTTGACCGAAAGCTCTAAAAATGGGATCATTATCACTATAGATAATATACAGTGTTAAAACATATTTATTTTATTCTAATACATCAATTAGGGATGAAAAGATCTTTTGGCGCATGGTGAACAAATCGTTCATAGCACGTTGGCAGGGAACGTGTTAATCCTAACTTAAACCGGATGACATGATGGAAAATGAATAACAGCAAAGTAATGAAAATCAAATGGCATTTAAGTAGTGACAAAACAAAAATAACCGATCACGCAATTCTCGTGCTTGCTTTGGCTAATTGTACGCATACCCAGCCTACTAACCAATACTAGCACGATCTTGTTTTAGCGCGGCGCAAATGCCAATGGAGAGATGGAGATGAGGGATGTGAAACTTACACAAGTGCTACCAACTGCCAGAATAAGCCACTGTCCAAATTATTGCAACACAGAATCAAAAAATTATCTTTATTTTAATGAAAACTTTATATAAAAACTAAAAACGTATTTCTCTTGAATATCAAAACTAAGAACTGAACTGGAAACAGTTCAGAAGCAGCAAAGAATTTCACTTGACATTTTCAGCTTTCTTACGTTCGCCAATTTCGCTAAGAGCAGGATGTTGTACTTCAGATGGCATGCCTATTTTCTTCAGTGCCTACAAATTTGGAGAATTTATTTGGAAATGTATTCAAATAAATCATGCCCAACGGCCACGGTTATTCCAACAACCTACAGAAGAGATGATAGGTGGGCTGTATTTCGAGGAACTTCTTGAAACAATCAAATATTTACAGAACAGGTCCATTGCACAATACATACAATGTAACAAATATGTTTAACGGTTATAGAAAGTTCCTCAAAACATTACCCAATAGAAGGATTATGAGAGAACTAGGGTCTCAAAGAATAAAAATATAAATTAGATTTTGATAATTTATTCTTGTATAAATCAAAAATTTCATAATAGACAAAAATCTAGCTTAATTACGCAATTTTCTTAATTACCTCCTCAACCTGTTCCTTAGTAAACATGTGGAAAAATTCTTTTGGAGTCATAGTCATCACCTCTACATTAGAGGCATTCAATTTCTCCTCCATAACTTGCTTAAGGATGGTCAGTGCTGCCGTAGTAGCCTCCTCTAAGGTCATACTGCGATGGTAGACTTCTTGGAGGCTCTGTTGAGCGCCTTCGGATCCAGAGCCTATTGCTTTTGCATCAAACTGGACAAAAGTACCTGATGGATCCATATGGTATAACTGTGGCCCCTTCTCATCAATTCCAGCAAACAGAATAGCAACACCAAATGGTCTAGACATTGCTGCACCATCATCATCAGAATCCCCAAACTGAATAGCTAAGTTTGAAACTCCTTGTGCACATGATTCTACACTCATGTTCTCATTATAAACAAACCAGTGGTTTTGACATTCTATTCTTGCCCTAGAAATATATTTCAAGTTTGCAGTTCAAATTCTATCTTTTACCATGAACATGGATATTTGTTACATCCGTGCTATATACTGGGCATCCAGGAATAAAATTCCCTTTTAAATGCTAATAAAAATTTTTAAAATTAATTTATTGAAGCAAAAATATACACAAAATAAGCGGATTTCATGTTTTAAAAATTATATTGTCGAGGTGCCTTCCATTTCGGTCGAAACACTCCTGCAATGCCATCTTCATGTCTGGGCTATGCCACGTTGATTGTTTAAAAAAAAAACGGACCGATAATTCCTGACGCCGACACTGCACACCACACAGTTACTTTTGGGCGATGTAGGGGCCTTTCGTGTTTTTGCCTGCCGTGTCGTTTGCAAAAAAAAAACGGTTTATCATGCATTGTTTCCGCGAAGGAACGGCGGTGTATAAAGTCATTTGGGTTTAATTCTTGGACTATTTGGATCTTGTAGGGATGAAGCTTTAAATCTCTCCTTAAAATTGTATGAAAAGATGATTTACGCAATCCCACCACCTGTGATGTTTTACGAACAGATCCACTTGGATTTTGAATTATATATAGCGGCGCGTAATTCTCAGGAGTAGTTACAATCGTTGGACGACAAGGGCGTTTCGCATTTAAAGCTGGCGATGTTTCTCTAAACCTCTACACACACGATTTTGCTAAGTTTTTACTTGGTGTGTCCTCCACACGTCTAATAAAAATCTTCGTCTTGCAATTGTGTACGAGTCATTGTTCTATAAATATGCCTCAATAATGAACGCACGATGCGCAACAGAGCAACGTTCTGTTTTCACTAAATAATCCGCATCGATCCACTATCGAAAGATGCTACGCCGACCGCGCTAAGTTATTCGAGTTTAAAAAGGGAAATTTGTTCCTGGACACCTTATACTACACTGCTTCATTCACAATAATTATGTCTAAGGCGAGCACAAGATGCAGACCACTTGTAAAGGTAGGTTTCAGGCAGCAAGAAGGTAATTCAAATTTTTTTGAGAGTCTGTATTTTGGTGAAAAATGGTTTTATCTAGGCTTTAAAGCATTTTGAAGCTTTAAGATTCTAGTTTAGAAGCAACAGTTCTCATGCAATTTTCACAGATAGCACAAAAAACATTTTTTGCAAATTTGTTGCCTTCTTCTTTTTAGTTCATGGGCATAATTTTTTTCTGTTGGCCATCATCTGGATCGGACAGCCCGTTTATTATTATATCTGACTGAATGAAAAGTATCCTTTTGCCATCAACCACTGATATCTCAGTAACCAGTGGTCGCACAGAGAATGTAAGGCTATTTCCCAAAACTGGAATAAACCTTAAATTTTCCCAATTGCTTTTTTCAAAACTGAAGATGATACAGATATCCAACAGTGACAACAAAAGAAGAAAAGTGATTTTTCCATTTTTAACTGGATTACATGATGTATTGATACAAAAATGTTTCTCCTTTGATTTCTTTCAAATTTTGACCAATCGGTCCGGAGAAACCGTATAATGGATCGGTCTGCAGTCGTGCAGGATTATTAGGGGTACACTGAGGCATAAAAGGACTAAAAAATATTAACCTTCTCATTAGCAGTTCAAAAAATGCGGTAGATTTTCCGAAACAAGGCATAAAGTAACTTTTTTGACTTTCTTAAAAGCAATTCTGAATAACCAAAAAAAAAATATTCACAGATTGCAATAAAATTTTATTGGAGATTTTTTCCAGTTTGCAGAAATACTATCACATTCTCTGTGTGATCACTGGTTACCAATCACTGGTCAATGACAAAGGGAATTGACGGGTTATCCGATCCATACAATGACATAACAGAAAAAAAAACTAGAATCTTAGAGCTTTAAAATGCTTTCGTTGAAGTTTTGATGTGACCAGTTATCACCGACACACAGAATGCCAAACATCACCAAAAAATTTGGATTTCTTTTTTGCTCCTTTAGTTTTGTTGAGTACTGTAGATGGATGCAATTTGCCTGACTTGAGTACTGGATACATCTGTTAGCATTGTTTTGTTTACATACATAAAGATTGCTAGTAGTGCCTCTTTTCTAATAACTAGGAAGTAAGTCTTTTTTTAAATTCTGAAGGTTTCTCTTGTGACTGAAGTCATTCTGAAATTCCTTATATGAGCAATTATTAACAACGGATTGCACAAAATATTTAATCTTTGAAGGTCTGTCAATTCATATTAACCTTAATTTCAGTATCATTGTGCTTGAAGAGTTCCTTTTATTTTTGGAACAATAAATTAAGAAAGCCAGTGTCATTCATGAAAAAGGTATGTTAAAGTTACTCTACCATGAATCTTGCAAACATCAAGTCATTCATATTTGAAAGTAGTTGCAGCATTAATCACATAATATCCTCTAAACCATCTATGGACAATGTTCCATATAGATATGAACTTGGCACAACTGGCATAAGGCTAAATAGATTTTGGTTGATTGCAGACTTTATGGTTTTATCAAGGAGGATGGAGATCATAATAAAATTAGCATGTTTTTTCACAAAAGATAAGGCTATACATTGAAATCATTACGTAATGTTTCAACCAGATTTTGTTTGTAAAAAAGCTTGTCAAAATTCAAAAGATTATCATGTACCATGAAAAAATATATGTTTGCATTATTTTACATGCAGACGCTTCCACTCTTATTGCATGTCACAGTATCAAATCTCATGTGAAGCTCCTAACACTATTAAACCTTAGCCAAACACAAAGTTCACTGAATCACAAGAAATGAATAAAGCAAAATATGTTTGCATATAGACTGACAAGCATTGATATCAAATTTTAACAGATTAATTAAAAAACCTCAACTCTGTCTAACAACATAATGACAACAAACTTATAAGAGTATGATGAGCAAGAGCTGCAACTTCATTGCTCTATACTAATTTCAGGGTGTAAATACATAGCAAATAAATGCTAGTAATCTTATAAATGCTTAGGCTGCCATGGTGTGTCAATCATATTGTTGCGTTTCATAAATCACATACAAAACTATTGGAAATTTATACACAGCTTTAGCTTGCACATTGAGCTACATGTTATAAAAAAAAATGTTTGTGAGATTGTAGCTACGCAAAAAAATAGACATATAAAGTTTCAGGGAGCCAATTGTTATAGGACGTTATTTTTAAAATATTGATTTAAATATTTTTACCTATCTATCATTGTACGTGAGTCTGCCATAAGACCAGATACAGCACAACCGATATGCTTATCAACCTCGACAATCTTTTCAATTGTAGTAGGCTCCATTAGCGGAGAAGTGATTCTTTTCTCCACTGCTAGTACAACACCTTGACTTGTGCATATTCCAATGGCTGTTGACCCAAGTTTGATGGCCTCTATGGCATATTCAACTTGAAACAACCGTCCTTCGGGGGAGAAGGTATTTACCCCTCGGTCGTATTCGCTTCTTGTAAGGAACATCTGAAAATTACAAGACACCGACTGAATATTTATTGTAGGTTATACATAATATAGAAAGAAGTGTGATGTTTATAATATTAGAAAAAATTTGTATAACTTTATAACATACCTTATATTTTTAACGTATACTGTTTTCGGTAAACGACGGGGAAAACTGGTGAAAATGAATGTAAAAATGACTATTCAATTTTAAGTTTACAAAAAGCTTGTCATGGAGATCATGGAACAGAGGCAATTGACAAAGGTGACAGAGAGCCACAGAACAGAAGATCAGAACACGAAACACTGCACACAAATGTCACACGCTGTGTAGGGTTGTGTTCACCGCGTTGTGCGAACACTGACGAAAACCGAGATGTGATTGTGATAGGTGACAAATTAAACGAGCGACCACAACTACCCTACAAATGGTTTCCCATGAGATAGGAACCCGGAAAGTAAACCTCCTCTCGCCTTCTCCAAACTAAAAGTGCCAAATTGGTTTGCATTTGCATTAAGCGAGATACACCAAGGATATTGGCGAACACAGCTCTATAAATTTTCATCCACAGAACAAAGCTTAGCAGTCATTTTTGAAGGTCGTTGGTTGCTAACCTATATTACATGACACATAAACAAAAAGAGAAAAACTTTAGAAGCCGAAAGCCGACTATCCAATACAAAAAGGTTGTTCAAAACTTCCAGGAAATTAATAGGCGTCCACGATGAGTTCTGAAGAAAAGATTCTCGTGTCATCGATAAACGGCAGTGAAAAATCAATATCACTGGATATTGAAATCCAAAAGGAAATTGAACAGCTAGAATGGAAAGACCACTTCCTTCCTAACGTGAAAGAAGTTTTCAAAATTGAAAGACTGACTACAGGAGAACCGCTGAGGTAAATTTCTTATTGATCTAGCTTTAAAAGATTCGCAAACAAAAAGCTTATTTCCAACAATTTATAATTTTGTTTTTAATAAAGGCTCTACAAGATTTCAAGCGCATCAGAGTGGGGTAGATATTGTATACTTTACATATTAGAAAATCGTGTATGAAGTCATTACCATCGGATGATCATTTGCTCAGGCAGTGGGATAATATTTCAATACTCTTGAAGTACTCTTTTTTAGTCAAGCATTCAAGCTCTTGTAAACAGTAACTTGGAAAACTTATATGCAGTACTGGCTCTATATACAGGCAAAGCGAGTGTTGCCAATATGAGCAGGGCAGGCAAAGAAAATAAATTTAGAATACGTGTTACTGGAAGTAGAAATGTACCAGGCACAAAACCTATGGAATTTGACCACTAGTCAATTTTAATTAAAATTTATAAAACAAAATAGCATGCTGTGCTGATCAAATGTTTCAAAGGGCACAAGGCCCAGAAATGCTTTCTGCTGAAGATACAGGGTGTTAAAGTTTGGTGCCTTAGTTCCTGTAGAATGATATAATAAAAATCATGTGAACACATACAATATAATTGTAGTTCAATAGAAAAACAAAATATATTTGAAAACGATTTATGCAGCAATAAATGTGTATTTCCAAATTACTTCATGTTATACAGGATGTTGTACAACAAACATTTTTTTTATCAGTATATCAGCAGATACCCATTCTGATGTAGTAGTATTAAACTTGTTATCAGAAGAAACTTAAAAACGCGAATTGGATGGTTCAAAAATATAAATGATGATCCATTTAGAATTTCTGAGAAAATAACGTTTTGCACCACCCTGATAAAGGTGGTATATGTTTCCATCCTCTTCCAAAAATTCAGTGAAAAACTATGCAAAATAGCAGAAGTCAAAGCCTTCAAGGATAGGCGTTTCTTCAGATAAATAGTCATTTGTCTATTATCATATACAGTGAAAATCAGTTATTAATGTCCTTCAAGAGACCTAGCAAAGGAAGTCGTTATATCCGATTTTCGTTGTAAGCGATAGTCTCTTCTTTTTTAGTTATTTAGCTATATACAGATCAATTCTAAGAATTCAATACAAAAGAAAACAGGTAAATTGAATAAGATGATTAATTTAGAACATCTCAAGGCTTTAACACCGAAATAAGTAGGTATGTATTTTAGTACCTATATACAGTAACTAAATTGAAAAACATCATGTAAATACATATTATGTATTATCATACATATGTAAGAAACATAAAAGCATGGAATATATTGGCTTACTCACAAAGAAGATGGATTATTTTTTGAAAAAGTCAGTAATTTTCGATTGTTTTTTACATTTATCACTTTGGTATGCACATTGAAATTCCTTAATCATAGATTTCAAACATTCCTGTTTTGAAGGGCTGCTAAATTTCTCACTGAAAATCAGAAATTTTTGTTGAGTACTGTTGAAACTAATAATAGATTCTTGAACAAAGACAAAAAAATTTGTGTAATATTAACGAGTTTTAACCGGCAAAAGTGACGGTTTGTCGCTGTAGCCGATATTTTCGTTAAGTGAATCATGATAGAAACGTCGCTTTAAGCGATATGTCGTTAGAGCCGACGTCGTTTTATACGGTTTTCTTATATACAGGAATAAATATAGTTTCGCCGATAAATGCAAACTTCGTCGTATATAATCCGGTATGTCGTCATATACGATGTCGTACTAAATGATTTCTACTGTGTATTATGTTATCATTATATTGACCTTGTTTTCATAAGGTCTTTCCAAATATGTAATATAATATAAAGCTGATCCTCTAAATAAAAACATGTTTGGTGTGCCATAACTTTTCATTTTCAGTGGGAAAAATGTGTATGTACATATTTTAAGAGGTCACAGGATTTTTATTATATTGTTAAGTACCCTGAGTACATTAAAGACGAGTTAGTTTCCATAAAATGGTGCAGACTTACTTACCCACAGGGGCTAAGGCACCAAACTTTAACATTGTATACCATTGGAACATTTGAACAGCACAACATGAACTATCACTATATAACTTTTATAATTTATGTTAGCTATGAACCCAATAATAGCTTTTTACTTACCATGCAGCTTCCTCTTGTTACCTAGCAATATCTTCACCCAGGGTTCTAGAAACTCTTGAGCAGGCACTGCTTATATGTATGTATAGAGATGTAATCAAAAAATTGATGTTTCTCCATGGAGAATAGTACTGCATCAGTTCAATTATTGTATTTTTCATTTTGTTTTCAGGATAATTGCTTCGAATGAAGCTATTTCACTAATAAACAGATGGATCAAGTTTCTCATGGAAAAAACTGGGAGTGAATCACGTACAGATGAGACTTTGAATACATTACTAGAATTACTTAGATGCTTGAGGAACTGTACATCAAATTTGCAAACTCAGGATTATATCAATGAGAAGACAAATATCTTGGATCATACAGTTAAGCTTTTTGAAATAGTTTTCAAAGTAAACAAGGATCATTTACTCTTGAAAGTAATTCTCCAGTTTTTGAATAATTTTATTTCATCAAATGAAAAAACATCAAGAACTGTATATAATTTATTTTTTAATCTTGCAAAAAGTTGTCTCAAGGAAAATATCAACATATATGAAACATCTGCATTAATTTATAACATATCTTTATTTATACCCATCCAAGATTTAGATATATTTCATAGTATATTATCAATATTCAAAAATGAGAATTATGATGAAATGGATCATTATGAATTTTTGCATTTTTTCTTGGAGAAAAGTATTGGAACCAAGGAGTTTTGGACTATCTACACAGATTTTCCTTTGAATGATAAAACAACAATGCTGGATTATTTCAAACACTTACTGATACAAAAAAGAAATTTGACTATTCATGATGAAGGCTTACGAACATTGGTTAATACAATATTAACCTCATCTGATATTATTTTCCAAACAAGAGAATGTTCAGAGAGTGATCAAGAATTGATAAATGAAATATCCCTCACATTAGAGATTTTATCTTCTCTATCAAGTGATGAAAATTACTTGAAGAAGCTACAGACAAATAAGGACCTATTCATAAATGCAGGAGTACTATTAATTAATGTGCACAGGTTAGGGAAGGAACCAAATAGTTGCTTCACACCCCTACAAAAGCTCTCAGAACTGGGCAAACCTACTGAAGGGTTGAAAAATCATCCAGCATTTGGATTCAAGGCAGATCTTATAAGACTTATTGGAAATATGTGTTGGAAGAATCCTGAAATGCAGAACTTGGTAAGGCTTCATTACCTATTTGGGCATTACATTTAAATGCTCATTTACGTGGATGGGTATTGTGAGTATCAAAAACCCAGAGGTTTTTAAGGCGTTCCACAAATATTTTTTATTTGCGTTTTATATTTTAGGTTGATATGGTAAAATGAAAGGTTAAAAACAAGAATCGGGTATTTGAATTCATCATTGTTACTATTTAATATGGGTTCAATTTCTCGGAAATTAATTTTATTATTTTTAGGCACGTACAGCGGAACTAATACCAGTTATTTTAGATTCTTGTAATATAGATGCTAGAAATCCGTGTATCCTTTTTTATGATCAAGGTATATATTTATTGAAGGCCCACTAAAATTGCCATGGTATTTGAAAAAGGCAAACATGATGACCGAAATGTGATATTGCACGTGTAGCCAAGATATACAGGGTGTCCCGAAAAAAGTATGCAATATTCTACCAGCGGTTTCTAGAGCTTAAAATAGGAAGAAAAGTTTATATAAACATAGGTTAACAAAGTCCCCTAAGGGCGCTACAGTCTTTTAAAGGGGCTCCCCTGAAGATGGTTTTTCCTTAATATTTCCGAAACGTGTTGAGATAAAGACATAAAATTTGGTATTCTGGCCTAGTTTTTTATGCTTGATTAAAAAATATTAACAATTTTAGACAGTTTTGTTTAGAAACGTATGTAACTGGGACGGACTCAGGTTATTTGAGCCCCAACATTTTTGTGTGATTCTATTTTTGAAATTCAATTTTAGAATTTGAAAATTTAGGGTTTTCTACATAAAAAAGGTACTCTTATTGAATTAAATTATTAAATTGTGCCATTTTTGAATAAAATCAAACTAAAAACTTTGTCACATGATAGGAAATGTACTGCGAATTTAAATGAATTGTTGAATAATTAGCCATGGCAACGAAAAAACTAATTTAATAATTGGTAAATATTACATAAATACTTATTTCTATTGCAACATAGCTAATATTTAGGCAAAAATAAAAGAAATAATTTTTTTCTACGAACGAAATTGAAACTTGTTTAAAAAAGAAGACATACAGTTGGATATACTTAAAACTAGCTTTACAATAAGTGTTCAAATAAATTCCCATTTTGTTGGATACAGAGTCTCGCTCGATGAACTAATGATTGCGTAGCCCGAAAAGTGGAAAACCTTTTTCTTCTTATTTCATTTGCAGTCTGATGGATTCTTTGAAGTAAATCTTCTTGAGTATTTACTTCAGTCGAGTAAACTAGGTCTTTTAATGACCCCCAAAAATAGAAATCCAATGGATTTAGGTCAGGTGTACGTGGCGGCCACGCTATAGGACCTCTTCGGCCTAACCACCTGTCTGAAAAATTGACATTCAACCAATTTCGAACATTGTGTCCAAAATGTGCCGGGGCGCCATCATGTTGAAAAAACATATTTTCTTGAAACTGCTGGCGGACATCCAATGGTATTATATCCATAAGCTCATTCTGAAGAAAGTTCAGATACACCTCTGAATTAAGATGATTGGGAAGTACAATAGGCAAAATTACTTGATCCCCAATTACTCCTGCCCATAAGTTCAATGAAAATCTATGTTGGAAATTTGTACAGCGAACACCTTTTGGATTTTCATCTGACCAGTGATGCATGTTATGGAAATTAAAAGCACCATTCCTAGTAAATATTGACTTATCCGACCATAATATTCTAGGAATAGTGTTTTCATTTGCTAATATCCACTGTCAAAACTCGATTCGTGGTAAAAAATCTGCCTCCGTTAAATGCTGCACACGTTTAAAATGATAAGGATGTAATCCTTGCATTCTTGTTATTCTTCCTATCTAAAATTATTATTTTTAGGATAACTATCAAATAGGTATTCATAAATTTTTCTTACTATTGATCGAGGTGTATCCATATGTTCTGAAGCATTTCGTATGCTGATTTGCGGATTATTTAATATTTAAAGCAATATCCATATGATGATTTCCCAGTGGCCTTCCTGAGCCCTGCATGCGCTGAAAACTTCCATGGTTTGACAAATTCCGGTGAATATCAGTAAACATTCGACGTCCAGGTACTATGCGATTGGGAAATCTTCTTTAATATTCTCTTACGGCTGCCAATGAACTGCCATTGCAAAACCCGTATACAAAATGCATGTCAGTCAGTGCTCTGTTTGTAAATCTTGGCATTTTAAATCGATTTAATAAAAATTTTGATTTTAATCTAGTAATTTTACACTGCTAACAATGTCAGCTTAACGTCAAAATAAGTCATAAAAAATCAAAACAACTTTTGATTGCAGTCCTGGCTAAGTATGTATAATCAACAATTCATTTGAATTCGTAGTACATTTCCTATCATGTTACAAATTCTTTAGTTTGATTTTATTCAAAAATGGCACAATTTATCGATATTCAATAAGAGTACGTTTTTTATGTAGAAAACCCTAAATTTTGAAATTCAAAAATTGAATTTCAAAAATAGAATCACACAAAAATTTTGGGGCTATAATAACCTGAGTCCGTCCCTGTTACATACGCTTCCAAACAAAACTGTCTAAAATTGTTAATATTTTTAAATCCAGCTTAAATAACTAGGCTAGAATACCAAATTTTATGTCTTTATCTCAACACGTTTCGGAAATATTAAGGAAAAACCATCTTCAGGGGAGCCCCTATAAAAGACCGTAGCGTCCGTAGGGGACGTTTGTCGACCTATGTTTATATAAACATTTCTTCCTATTTTAAGCTCTAGAAACCGCTGGTTGAATATTGCACACTTTTTTCGGGACACCCTGTATAAGGTTATGTACAAATTCATTGATACTGATCGAGTGATCAGTAAATACTGATGCAGTGTTGCCGAAACGAAAAACACGAAATCGGTAGATAGTGGCATTGCAATTCGGAAGATTCAAGGGTAGGTAGAAAAATTGGGGGTAACATAAGATCAGAGGCTGATCAGGGGTCATAGGGTCAGGCAGCGCGTCTATGGAAAACGTATATTTTTGTATTATATGCGGACACACAACGCAGGTATACAGGTTTCTTTTAAATATAAAAACAAATAGGAAAAATGGCATATTATTACAGCATACAGAACGCAGGTAACTTAGGTTTTTTATGAATATAAAAGCAAATTAAACTTAAAAAACCCAATATTTAATTTTGTGTACAGGGTGTTTCACAACTTATCCGACAAATTTTAACCACATATGCACTGTTACGAAAGAAGTTGAACTAAGCACTTCCCAGCTAAAACGTCACCTTTAAAACATGTTTTTTTCTAAGTCCAAAGAAAAGAAGTGAACTAAAACAAAAAAATAATTTCCATGAAATTGGAGCGCGACTGGATTTTGCATCAAATTCTTCTATTGAAGTAACAAAACATTTCGATCCTCTTTGGGGTTATACCGATGTTATTTGGAAATACTAGAAATCATGCTGACTTTAATATTGAAATTGTAGCAGGCTACTGATTGATTATGAACATAATCTATTTTATTGTTTTGTTTTCATTAAGTTAATAGCCGAAAATACCCTCTCAAAATTAGCGCAGAACAATTCGTATTTTTAGCTTTCTGTCGCGTTTTAGCCCTTTTTTGGTAAGTATCTGGAATATTTTAAAAATTCGTGGAAGAAGAGAAGGTTTTCAGTATTGTGGTAAACACGGTTTTATTTTGGTAGAAATACCGAAAAATCGGTTGGTTCGGCAACACTGTTCTGATGGTAGAAATCATAGTAAATACTTATCGTGAGACGTTCGCTTTATGTTGAGATCTGAAACATACATAGATACTATTTTACCATTCCGCATAAGGTTTCTGTGTCAGGTGATGACAAATGGTTTGTGCTTGCATCTAATACACGCAACACAGCTTCTTTTCCTTAATAAAATTTAGTTATCATACAATGGGCAATCCTAGCGATAAGGAATCTTCTAGAAAATAATATAGAAAACCAGAAGATTGTGGCTGACTTACACCAGACGGGGGTTGTACCAGTTGAAGTACTTAATCAACTAGGATTGACTCTCCACAGCGAGGGGGAGAATGAAATAAGAGTTGTACCACTTGACGATTTGAGGAAACGTGCGCAATAAATATTTTCATATGCTTGATTTACGTTTTTTTTAAACCCCGTCTGATATGATCACGTTCTACATTTACAAAACTTGAACTGTGGATGATTGACACTAGTAGTAGTTCTACTTCGCTAAAGACCGTTTGTCAGGTGGGTATTGAGATGCAGGTCCGTGACGTGAGGTCACGAGACGCTGTAATAGTATCAAATAATATAATGAAAAGGCTTTGGCGCATAACGGGGAGGGGGGTGGTGTTAATCGGCCTTTTGAATTCTCAGCCAGCTAGGCTTGTTGAGAATTTTTTTTTTTGAGTAACTTGGGAATCTGCTTTATTGAATCATGAAGATTTCTTGTTTTTTTTGAATATTTCGGCCGCATTTGAAGATTTTTCAGTTTTGCTTACGCCAAATTGAAGGAATATGAAGCGCACCTGAAACACATTTTTTTCAAATATTTTTGGTGGGAAGTTAATTCTTTTAGGCTTTAAACAGATTGAATATTTTTTAACAAAACTTTTTGACCCACGTTTTGATTAAAAAAATATACGTGATGTATCTTGAGTAGATCTACCTACACGATTTTTCCACCCGGGAGCGGGACCGTGGCAAATGCTTGCTCTGAAAGATGTTGTGTTCAGTATACAACTTCTTCCTATTCGAGTGATTGTACACGCGCAAAGGAATCCCTCAGTACGGATGAGGAGTATTTATCAGAATTAACAAGCAAAGAAAAGGTTGTGGACAAGGATCAGTTGGGTAGGTATCACCCGCTTAACGATGATGGATCCCTGGAGTAGTAAAAATTCCGGACGTAAGCTCACTCCATTCTCGGGTGGAGAGTGGACTCGAGAAAACAACATTGATGATAAAATTTGTTTCACGAACAACAGCAACGTTTATGCTGTTCACCACAACCTTCAGTCTAATCGTCCTATCGTGATTTTATTCCCTTCCCTGGCAGCAGGAACTCGCCCGGCCGTAAAGTTTGGCATTGCGGACATGCCGAATGAGAGGGGTTCAGAGATTTTTTTCTCCACATTTCCTTGGAGAGATGTTTGTTTTGCTCATGCGGATGCGCCGGCTACCTGTTGATCAATAACCACAATTATCCAAGTTGGGATGGAGGAATACATACCTCACACAGTGCAAGTGCCTAAATCAGTGACCAACTGCTCGTGCGGCAGAAGTTCAAGGCACACAGATCCTTCTTACAAAACCCTATCCTGTAGAGAACGTAATAGGTCAACGTCAAATGCAAAAGCAAATACAACGAAGCGGAATTTAATGCCTTTCACCTCTTACGTGCGAGGATCGAACAATTGTAGCCGACTCAAACGCTAACGCAAAATCGCTTGTCAAGATCTTTGCTGCCTACTGAATGAATGAATCTTGAAATTAGAGGCATTCCGGCCACCATAAGGAGCCAGTGCATAGGCCGCTTAAGCTGGCCGTTATGCACCTCTACATTCCTTAGATCGCAAGCTTCGCCCTTTTAGCGATGTTGAGAATCGCCTTGAGTCCAAGCTCCTTGGCGTTCTGAGGGTCCAAAGTAATGGACCCCAGTATAGTCTGCCTATAGTAGCTCAGAGCTTCACAGCGACACAAAACGTGCGCCGAGGTCTCTTCCTCTACCCCGCAGCGTTCACACAAGGGATCCTCGGCCACCCCCATCACGTGCAGGTGGCGCCTTAACGTGTTATGGCCACCCACTAGCAAAGTAGTGGTATAAGTTTTTGGTAAAAGAACCGTTCAGCCATAAAAGCTCTCTATTGTTGTTGCCTGAACACAAAAATGCTGGCTTAATGTTGTGTGGAATGCAGATTTGCTTTCTGCAACATATTTGCTCTAAAATGAAGTGTTTAAAATATTCTTATAGCATAGTTTTACAACACCTTATAGGGCAAATTTTTAACTGTTGCATACACGTTTATACAGCTATTTTATACGACATATTTGCACGTTAGTCGAAATAGTTGTGTTGTGGCATCCATGGTAACGTTTATAAAACAAACCCGAGCCTTGTTGTTTTGCTGTGCAATTTTCTACTTTAGCCAAAAAATTGCTCCCAACGGAAGCACTTATACAACTGTTGTTTAGTAACTGTTTGTAGAAGTTTATCATATACCTGTGTATGAAATTCACAATGGCAGATATGTAAGTAAAAAAGATGACTGTAATGTGTTAGTTATATATTCTTCACTTCGTCTAGCTCTATACGATACATAGGAAATAGTTTGGTTGCAATAAAGTAGAATCACGTAAGAGAATAGTTGTACAGTTGACAAAAACTGAATCTTGCACTGACGCAAATGTCCTATAGCGGCTGCAAGAGGCTTACACTTTTGTTGTATAACTGGTACCTGCAGCCCTTATACAACCTCTTAAATGACTGAAGTGTCCTATTAGGTGTGCCCATTCCGCTTGTATAGCAGTTGTAAGAGGGTTTTGCCAATGTTCTTACAGTATACAATGCTGTTTAAGGAATACTGTATAATCATTCTTGCAATTCTAATAGGAGTGATAATTGTTAGTTGGGCGTCTTGCGTGGAAAGTGCAGAGCCAGCTAGTCTGTGGACACTTCAACGTTCTTCAAAGCTTAACAACCAACCAAGTTATTACAAGTGGGAAAGCGCCTTAAATAAAATCTCCGGGATGGATTATCGAGTGGGGATCTCATTGCAGCGGGAACGCGAATAGCGGGAGAGCGAATCTGTCGAATGACACGCGAATGGCTTAGAAAGGGCGTGGTGAGGCGATGCGGTCCTTCATCGGCAGACGCCGTTGTTGGGGATGCCCACCCCCAGGGTTTTCATGCGCCCGCCTGGGCCTTGCCGATAGAAGGGTCCCAAGGGAGGCTGAGCTTTGTGCCGCTAAATCGTTCTCATTAAAGTTATGCCGCAGATAGGACGATAGGACGGCGAAACCGTCGTAATCGAGCCCGCTCTGGCTCTGGCTCTGCTTTGAGAAGTGAAGCCGTGTAGCCGTAGAAGTTTGCTCAACGCTTGATGACGGGCGAGAATAAGGAATCAGTGGCCTGGCCAATAAATAAAAACATGTTAAATAATTACTATCGTTTAGGCAGCTCTTGCCACCTTGTTCAAGGTTTAAGTAAGATATGTAAAATAAATTTTGAATTTGAAAACTACACATTTTAAAATTTATATTCTTCAAAAATACACGGTGTCCCCAAAGGCATATATCAAGCGAAAGGAGGTGATAGCGGGGGTGGCCACTTCCAATCAGACAAAACCGATTATGCACGGTTTTTGAGTTACCGCTATTTTCGACAATTTGTAGAACACCGCTACTTTTGAGACAAATTTTTTTTCTGGAGATTTTTGTTATTTCCCAATCAGCTTTACAGAATATGATCCTAGATGATGTTAAAAAACAGCTACCAGTGAAAAATTAGCCCAGTTAATGTAGGTATAGCAATCACCTGAACTGCAATTTTATCTATTGTAAAAAATATTATAGCTTGTTTTACTAGGATTGTAGACAAAATTAGTGGGCAGATAAATTATATGTAGTTTCAGTATGATCATCAACGGCGATAGAAATGACCCCGCTTTTATCCTCTTTCGTTTGATCATCACTGACGTAGCTTGTTCTACACCCCGGAGACTTTATTTATTTTGCGGCCACTGCAGAGTTAAATTCGGTTATGATTAATATGGCAGCTTGGCCATCGCCGAGCGACTTATCTTCACTATGTTCAAAATTTGATCTACGAGTATTTTGGGTGAAGTGTACCAGAGATTATTACAGTAATTATATGACATTCAAAATATAATATGAAGATACAATTAAGATCTTCCGCGAAATCTTCAATCTTAAATAATGCAAAACAACTCAACCGTGGTTCTTCCTAATTTGTTGTAAGCGCCGGCGCACACTTTCGGAAATCTGATTCAGGACAGCCCAGGAATATTAGACATATGCCGCCGATTCAAAGTTGTTGGAACTTGATTTCCGACAACTATGGTCGTTTCCATATCGAATAAAAGCCGCTGTCGTAAGCTAGTGCAAAAATTTCATCAAAATCCGAATAGTAATTTTCCCATTTATTCAGAGGTCAAACATTATTTGTGTTTTTGAAATTGCGTTACAGTATTCTCTTGCCTGTTTATGTGATAGGTGAAGGGGAAATGCAGGAGTAAAATACGAGTTGACCTGTAATAAGTTTTCTGATCATTCTCTACGATATTTTGTTTTGGGTCGTATACAAAGCTGGAGAGTTGAAAGCAGTAAAATTCATTTGACTCCATGTGGAGTTTCTGGTTCTTTTAGCTAGTCTTCATTGTCAAGAACTGTAACGAATCCTAAAAGGCACTAAAACGTATTATTGATTTATAGCTTAGATTCGAAATTCAGTATGAATAGCAGCTTCAATTGGTAGAATCATTTTATACTTTACAGATGCAGATCAAAAATAATTAAAAAGCACCATCAGCGGAAATATAATCGCTAGATACCGCCGCTCCGGAATGGCAGGTCCTGTGGCAGCCGCTCGCGTAGTCATATTGAAACAATCCACTGTTAATGCGGCAGGTATTACAAAAGCATAGAATAAAATTGATAAAACCGGCAAGTGATGACAGCGTTGGAGCATAGCAAAAACACACTGATCCAGTAGCGGATCAGCTGCGTTTGGTCAAACTTCAAGGGGTAATTATTTGATTGACTATAGATACCCAGAAATGCCTTATTTCCAATATACAGTTTTTTCAGCCGATTTTGTTAAAGTTTAACATGCACAAAGATGTCGATGGAAATCAAATAATATATAAGGTTTACTACCGCAAATGCTTATGGCCAAGTAAATCGCTGGATCCGTTAGATTTTGGTTTATTCTTGCACGACGGTTTTACTGAGGTGTTTTTATTTGATTTTCTTTAAATACCTAGCGCTATCTACTCGAACGTCATACAAAATAAAATGAAGGATATGGTAAACAAGATTGTTACGAAAGAAAAGGTTAAAAAAAATGGCGTGAATTAGGTTGAATCTGCACTTTCCCACGCTCAGTATCAGCCG